AAAAAAATATTTTCTTTTTGTAAAATCAATACTGTATATGTTACAAGTAGTAAACCAACAGGTTAAACAAAAACCGGTAAGGTATTCGAGAGTGCAGCGAAAAGGGAAACAAACTCACATTTTATGGGTCCCAAGCTACACTAATATACTTGGCAACACAATGGCAGATGAAGCTGCTCAGCAAGCTGCTAGAAAAGATACTATTGATTTTCCCTATATTATTAAGTATGATTTTAAAGTACCAATGCATAAAAGCACAGAAAGGGAATGGCAGGTTGAGTGGGCAGATAAACATTCAAAGCTTCGCACAATAAAACAGGATCCGTCAACCCCATTCTTACGTCTTGCACTAGGACGATTATTGGGCATAAGTCTTCGTATTGGGCATACTGCGGTGACTCACGCATATCTGCTTAAAATAGAAATACCTTCAATATGCATAGTCCGTGATGTTGAGTTGATAGTAACTCACATTATATGTGAATGTCCTCAATATATGGTAGAAAGAAATAGATTCAGTATTAAATGCATTTCTCACATCTGCTAGTATCAGCGCGTGCCATTTTTCGGGTTTCTCCTTGACGGTCTTTGTTGCAAGATCAACTGCATTTATTGTTGTGACTTTTTTTATGATTCCAAACTGGTTATGGTTAAATCCACCTTTATTTTGTACTTCTTCCATTAATCTATTCTTTATTAAATTTTCATATACTTTGGCGTTTGCGTTAATCAGGCAGATTGGACGGTATTTTGTTTCGATTGAATACATGAAGGTGTTGTTAGATTTTATCTAGCTTTGTAATAGACGCATCTTAAACCAACAACAGTCAAGTTTACGGTCGAAAAAAGTTCGAAAAGCGATTCGAAACGCTCGTTTCTCAAACCGCAGTTCTAATTGGCCAGACGAAATTTAACGACCGCGCTAGACTGGGCAATTAAGTGCAAAAATGCACCGTAAAATTGCGATCAATTAGTGGAAAAGTATTAATGGGAGCGCTGTTTAACACTAAATTATATGTTAATCAGGACGAAAACAGTTTATAGGTTTCTACTTTTTTATTGGACAACATAAAAAAATCACCAGCGAATGAATTTTGAGATTGATTCAAAAATAGCGAAAAAACTTCAAAAAATGTATTAATTTTCGTTAATTAGATTTTAATATTAGTAATGTCACTAGCTAATCACTCGTTTGACATATACAGGGTGGCGCACCTCATTTACGCGCCTCTGTTTATTATACGAAAACGGAAAGATGTAGAAACAAAATTTTATATGGGTATATGTGGGAGGGCAATGTTTATAATTCAAAATTATTTTGAAATGTACAGGGTGTGTGAGAACTAAGATCCATACCAAAGTTATATTTTTTCTTATAGAACACCCAGTATTTTATTTCATTTTTGAATTCTTGGACATAAAATAAGGCAATTATTATAAGGGTTTAATATGTTAAAAAGCTTCGGTTTTTGAGATATTTAAAGATATTTAAATATGCATGCTATAATAAAAAAGTTTGTCAACACCTTGCACATTAATTTTCAGAATTAATTCTTGTGCTGACTTTCAAGCCAGAGAAATAAACTTTACTAAAAAATTGTATTGCTTTCTTAAATGTATACAGGGGTATCAAAAATTGCTGATCTATTTTAAATATTTATTTTACATAAAAACTTCGTTATTTCATATGCAACACTATGTATTTTTTAAATAATTCGAAGCAGATTTAAATGGTCTTTCAAACTATATTAGGGTTTCCTATCTAGCCTAGATTTTGAATAAAAAGCGATAATAAAATTGTAATCAAGATGGCTGGTGTCGCCATGGCAATTTTCTAGTGATAAGTAGCCTTGTATATATATTTTTAAAGTAGATCAACCTAAGAAGTTTATGGACTAAGACTACTAGATGGCAGGACCGGTTTCCCTACAGAAATATTTTTTTTGTTACTCTGAATTTTGAAGCTACCAATAAAAACAGAGAAAATAAAAATCGATAATTTTCGGACTGTGCCAATTGGTTACTAATCGACCAGATACATTTTCTCTATTAGATATGCTATAAAAGCTGGCAATTATACAATTCGACCATTGTAAATACCCGACAAATTCTTGAACGCCGACGAGGCCGATGTTTCTCACTGATAAGAAATAAAAATGTTTGTTTAGATAATTTTAGAGGTATTTTTTCTTTCTGAATGCACATTTTAAAGTATTTTATAGTATTCTTTGTCCCCTTGACCTATTATCCTGCTCGCACGTATGGAAGTTCTGTTTCTTCTAGTTTTAGAAAATGTTCTTATTTCTTTTTTCTTTGCAGTTGTAGTGTAAAATTAAATATGCATTTCAGCGATATAGGTATATATGTTTTTATCGAAAAATTACAGTTAGATACAGAGTTATAGTTATAGCTAATTCTTTTCTTTCTTGGCTAATTTCACTTAGTTGGCATTAGTATTCTTACTCTGTTATGATTTATAACATAAAAACACAGAATATATTATTAAACGGTTCTTTACGATTTACATTACGCAAACTAAAACTTCATAATATCACTACCCCATTCACTTAAGTTATTTTAGAAAATGTTCTCCCGTACCGCCTCTTCGAGGGGGCCCATGCAATTTGTCCACCATCCACCTCTTCCGATCCCTGAGTTTGCATAATTGTGATATAAATAATTTTTAACATTTCTTTCATTATGGGGGGGATAATGAAAGTCATATTGGAACCACCCTACTGCGCGACTATCTAAATTTAACTTTTCTAACATGTCTTGAAAACCGTTCTCTTAAAATCGTAAATAACGTTCACGACGTTAGGAGGACGCAATCTCATTAAGGATGTGATTATCTACAACTTTTATCTGAAAACTTTTTGATTAAAATAAACTATAATGGAATTAGGGACAATTTTTAAAATAGCCAAAGTTTTTTTTTCGAAATATCTAATAATCCATGAACTTTTTCAAAAATCTGAAAGGCGCATATTTATGACCTCACAAAACTGCAATTCTTTCCCCATTTAACCGACTCTCTATCTGCAGTAGTTTTCGAGAAACCTATAGAGAACGTCGTAGAAAACACCCTGTGTATTGAAAATACTGAAGACCATAATATAAACAGAATAAAAAATAAATTTTGCATTATCTAATTAATTTATTTTCCTGATACATTTTTTTAATGAAAATGTACCTACTTGAATTATTTCAGTTAGATGTATTCTGCTTTTAGAAAGTTTTATGGTTTAACGGGATTTGTGTATGAGTTAAAATAATGAAATTTTTAGTTTTTATAATTCTGCACACATACAAAGTTAAAGCAAACTTGATTTTAAAACTATGGCCATATTTTACATTAATAAAGATTTAATTGGTGTAATAAAGATTTAGATGGTGTATTAAGTACAATATATTTATTTTAATGTCAAATAATATTGAAGCAAGTTGCAATTTTTTGAACATTTAATCAAGAATGTAAAAAGTTTTATGTTTTCAAAAAAAAAATATCGTAAATTCGTTAAACAATCAATTTAGAATAAAATAATCTATGAATGAAATGATTCTTTAATAAACCTGCATTAAATCAAATTAAAATAGGTATGTAACTTTTTTTGAATATTAATTATCAGTAATTAACATTATCATAAATTATAAATAATGTACCAACATATCGAAATAATAATTTCTTTGTTAATACGGTTTAGAATTCTTAAAATAACAGGCAAAAATAATCCACAATTTACAATAAAATAAAAGTTTCGTTTAAATTTCTTAATCAGCTGATCACTATTAAAGTTCGCAGAAACCTGGGGCTATATTATTACATTACTCTGAGGAAAATAACGAAAATAATCGATATTTTTGACTCCGCCCCGAAAGGTTCACGATTTGTCCTCCAGTTGGCAGCACATTTTGTCTAGTCGGTTGGGCAACTTTAAGAATATATAAACAAGGTTAGTAGCTATTTTCAAAATCGACATTAGTTTATGGACTTATTATTATTTTATCAAGAAAAATGAAGCAGTATCTGTTGGCGGAAGGAATGGATATGTTACTAGTGATTTTATTTTTGTGAGGACTATTTATTTTGCTTATTGGCCTGAAGGGTTTTTGCTCAAAGATATCCAGATAGGATTTTTTTGACAAGCGTTCCTTTAAAAAGCTAGTTTTCCTACTTCGCAGAGCTGATAGTGTGGTATATGAAAAACCTATGAGGCAGGAACATGTCGTTGAAAGTGAAGAAAATAAATTTGACTTAATTGGTTCTTTTATAGAAAATCCAATATTTATATCTTCAAGTCATCGTAATATAAACCAAAGAATTAGTTCTTTATTTTTCTTGATAAAATAATAAATACTTACTTATTAAACTATTGTAGGTAAATTAAATAAAAGTAAACTGTTATAAATTTAAAGTAAAGTCCATAAACTAATGTCGATTTTGAAAATAGCTACTATCTGTCACTAGCAAATTGCTATGGCGACACCAGCCATCTTGATTGCCATTTTATTGAAAAATCGCTTTTTTTACAAAATCTGAGCCAGATAGATATAGAATTAACTCTGAAAAGTAATTATATAATAATGCATATTTAAATATCTCTAAATATCTCAAAAACCAGAGCTTGTAAACATATTTGACCCTTATAATAAATGTCTTATCTTGTGTCGACGGATCCAAATATGAAATAAAATACCGGGTGTTCCATAAGAAAAAATATAACTTTGGTGTGGATCTGAGTTCTGACATACCCTGTACATTTCAAAATAATTTTAAATTATGCACATTGCTTTCCCACATATACCCGTAAAATATTTTGTTTCTACATCTTTCCGTTTACGTATAATCAACCGAGGCGAATGAGGTGGGCCACCCTGTATACATGGCTAATTTTTCTATTTCATATTTCCTTTAGTTTAAATCTGACTTCATCATCGATATAATATGTCTTCAACATTGCTTTACTAGTTATGGTTATCTAAATTTGTTTTCTTTTCAGTTACAGACCAGAAGATTATGTACCACCGAACATGCGAGGCCCAGCTGCGTTACGGTCTATCGAGGCAGCCCATAGATCGCACAGGGCATTGTCCAAAACGGAAGCTCGCTCGCGATTCATAGCAGAGGCGTGCCAACTTCAAGAACCTGTTAATGCTCATGTGTTTAGGTAAGCTAATAAATTAGAGTTATACATGGTAGGAAAATTATTATTTATAGGGTAGAAGCTTATAAGACTACGTCTATCTCTTTTCATAGCTTCAGAAGCAAAATAACTAAGGAAACTTATTAGTTGTCCAATATCAAAGTAAGACCCCCATTTTACTCCCAACTTTGATATATATTTTTTTATGCTAGTATTGTATTAATTAATATTTAATCTATAAATCCGGTGATTCTGAACGTTTAATTTAAGCTTTTGGAAAACTATCTTTCTCGCATTACGGGGAGTTAAAGTTGTTCTTTCAATGCTAAGAATTATCTTGCATAATTTGATCATCATTACCATTTAGCTTATCCCGTCTACACTTCTGAACAAAAACCTCCCTGAACTTTAGCCATCTCTTTCTATTTTGTGCCACTTGAATCCAATGTCCAGCTTTTGATCCAATGTCCAGCATCGGCTAATGGGCCGTCCTCTGCTTCTATAGGTCTCGTGTCTTGGTCTCCATCCTACAGGTCTCTTTGTTCACCGACTATCTGTCATTCTAGCAACATGCCCTACCCAATTCCATTTAAGATGTAAGATAGATATTACCCTTACTCCTGATTTCTTACGGTATGAGTGGGTATTTATCCTTAACAGTAACTCTCAACATGGACTTTTCCATTTTCCAGTCTCAAATTATGTCGCATACTTCATTTTTACAATAGCGACATTGTCGTCTCGATATTTATTTAGGCCAAGTAAAAATATATGTTTAGATGCCTTCTATTTTGGTTGAGAAGCATCGTCAAGAATCATCTTGAAAACCTTTTTCAGCTAAACATTTTTGACTTTTGTTTAATGCTCGATGATTTTTTTTCAGTATGATTTAATTTGGCTATGAATAGTTATCATTATCTGAGAGATGCTTTCTGGTAATGATAATAGAAAGTTTAAGTTTTTACAATTTTTTTACAATCATTCAGTAGCCCTAGATACCGATCTCTTTTTCATAGTTTGTTCTTAAATCCACGGTTTCAAGTCTATAGGGTTTCCAAGTATTTTACTATGTGGTTAACTGAGCCACTTTTTCAGAAGGCAATTTTATTCTTTATACATGTCATGTGTCTTCTTGAATCTATAGATAGATATTCCCCTCTATCTCCTGTAGATTAATTCTGCCCTAAGTAATATATTGCGAAGAGTCTACATTACTGAACATGAAGCGGTCAAGCGTTATTTTTTTTTCATAACTTGCATAATTTGTATTTTGGACCAAGGCGCAAAGATTTAAATCAACTTGATTTAAATCATGAATTAAATCGACCGATTTTTATATTTTAATAATGTCATGGATTTAAATTAAAAAAATCAACTTTATTGTCTATCTATCTCTTACGTTTAAAATCTTGTATCTAATAAATCAAACATTTTCCTTATAATTCCTTTTATAAAGGTGTAAAAATATTTCCTATAAAGCTATAAATATATTCCTATAACAGATATTATACCCTATCTATATTCATTAAATAAACTGTTACACTGGGCGTTGTAACGTGTAAATATCTTCTTCTTATCACGCCCTCTCCTGCCGAAGGTTGGCGATCCAAATGGCAATTGTGGCTCTGGAAACTGCAGCCCGGGAGATTTCCGCAGACGAGCGTTCAAACCATCTCCTCAAATCTTTTAGCCATGAGTTCTTTCTACTGATCTTTTCCCTTGCACTTTGCCCTCAATTATGAGGCGCGGTATTTCGTATCTACCACCTCTCATCACATGACCCAGGTATTGCATTTTTCTTTCCTTGATGGTGTTCAGTATCTCTTTTTGTTTCAGCATGCGCTGGAGTACTTCATCGTTGGTGATCCTTTGTACCCATGAGATTCGCAGCATCCGTCAGTATACATACATTTCAAAGGCTTCTATTCTCTTTTCGGTCTGTGAATCCAGTGTTCAGCTCTCACATCCATAGAGTAACACAGAGAAGACGTAGCATCTGACCTTCCGCACTGAGGTCTCGTCTTGTAAAAAATTATTTTTCTCGCTTGCTCAATTCTTGAAAATATTTCTCTTTTCGGGTCGCACTGACTATTGATGTTTTTGATGACGTTTAAATATACTTTTAATAAATCGAAAAATAATTTACTAAAGTTATAACACCTATATGTATAACTACTTAATATCAAAAATTTTATCTATTAAAATGTTGGACCGATTTTTGCCGTAATTTCGTGTAAATCTATTAGACTTGTAAATCAATTGACAGCTGTTTGTTAATCAGGCTAACTTCTGCCTTCTCCAATTTTTCTTCTAGTTCTTTCCAAATTTTTACTGCATAATTTCTATCGACATTTCGACCTGCAGTACTTTACACTTTGAACATTAGATGGTACTAATTTCAGTCTCGATTCAAGACAGTTAAGGCCATTTCCAAACAAGACCCCTAAGATCTAAGTGAGCGATTTTTTTTTGCAGAAATTGTGGCACCAGCAAAGTTTACATAGTAAAATACGATGACCGATGTGGAAAAACGACAGAAGAAATGCCAATGTTAACGATATCTGGCAAAGTTGCGAAGATTTTGTCATCCGATTAAAAAAATATTAAAATCAAAAAATCCGGTTAATTTTTTTTTGGAATAAATCTTGATTTTTTTCTCCCTGTGTTAGATAGATACTAAAATTACAATATACTTTTTTTATTAACTCATTATTTCTTTAACACAGGTTAAAAGCTTCGAAAACTGAACCCATCCCAGGCTCCCTCCTTCTAGCGGTGTGCGCTAGAGGTTTGAGGGTGTGCCCGGAAAACAATCCCCCCTCCATCTTCCTCTGGAGCAGCATCAGCAAACTGAGTTTCGAGCGGAAGAAGTTCGAAATCAGGACCGGTCACGAAAAACTCACCCTCTACACTACCAGCGACGAGAAGAGTCGTCTGTTGCTGGCTCTGTGCAAAGCGACCCATCAGTTCAGCATGGCGGTGGCGCCTCGCTTGAACGAAGCGAGGCGGGAAGAAGAGGAAAGACAGAGATGGGGATGCGATCAGAGGGTGTCAGTGATCAGCTCGACGTCGTCGAATACCACGTCGGGCATCGTTAGTGATAGAGTAAGTATTTTGCAGTTATTTAGTAGCTAAAATCTTAAACTTTACAAAAATAAAAACACTACCGTTCATAATCTTACACCTTCATTACTTCTTATTGCACCTGTTAATGCATAAGATGGTCCAGAATGCACACATGGGACATGTCATGTTGAATAGTAGATTTGTAGATTGTATGAGAGGGTGGGGGGAATGTTAATCACCTCGACCTTATAGATTTATTGTGTCTCCCTTTCTTGAGTTATAACTAACTCATCATAGTCACAGAAGGAGAACAGTCTCACGGCTTTGACAAAAGCCAGTATTTGAAACAAATTTACAATGTCTATAGTTCTCCATCTCCGATATCAGTCGTAATAATAATAATAAATAACGCTTTATTGTACAAAAAGCCAAAACAGCGTATAACAAATATTGTATAAAAAACAAACAAAAGCACAAAAAATATACAAATAATAAAAGATTATCATACAATTCAAAAAAAAATTACGTCATCAAAATTACAATAAGAGCATACATGGACATTGCAGACACAAAAAAAAGTCACAATAAAAATGTTATAATTGAAAAATTGTAAATGGTTATAATCATTTAAGAGTTACTATAAAATATTAAAATATTATATCATATATTATGGTACCAAAATTTATGACACGAATGGTAGTCGTCTCGGCGCACTCAGGTTATGATGATGTGTTTTGGTGTTTACCCATTTTCCCCACAGAATCTGCATTGGCCGTTGTTTCCTTAGCTTCAATCTACCGAGATGTTCACTGATGAGACAAGAGTCTCAGATGAAAATAAGTAAAAAAGTTCTTAAAAATGTATATCCTAAAATGTTTAGTTTCGGAAATACAGGGTGTAGAAGTTTCATTTTTATTTCGATTTTTCCAAATAATTTCTGAATTAACGCCAATCTTTGGATGAAAATTGGTGTCTGGGAGTTTTTTGATATGAGAAATTTGATGACTTCCATTTTGTAGCAATTGTTTTTAAGAGTTTTTAAAGAGTTTGCAACTGTTTTGAATGCTAATAACTTTTCGTCCGTACCTGTATAAAAGTAACCAGTGAAAAAAAATATATATTTCCGTAACTTTTTACGTAAAAAATGTCTCTTGGTAAAATCGCTACGAGTAATCGTTCTCCAGATATTTAGAATGGAAATAGTCCATATTTGTCATTATTGACAAAAAATAAACACGTTGAGTAGATAGTTATTTGACTGAAATTAATAAATTGGGGAAATTTTTATTTTTTTAAATTAATCATAAATTTTTCTGCGAAGAAATGATGATAAAACAGTTTTTGTTGAACTTTTGACACAAAAACATTTCAAATTTATGATTTCAGTCTAATGACTATTTAGTCAACATGTTTAATTTATGTCAATGATGACAGGTATTGATAATTTCGATTCCAAATATCTCGAGAACCATTACTCGTGGCGATTTAATTATTACCAAAAGACTTTTTTTACGTAAAAAATATCGTAAATGTATATTTTTTACTCGGTTTTATGCACGTATGATTAAAGTAAGTACGAGTAAAGTTATTACTCTTCAAATCAGTTAAAAATATGTAGGTGGCGCCCCCTACAAGTAGTAGTCATATTGACATCAAAATCAAATTTCTCATGTCAAAAAACTCCCAAACACCAATTTTTATCCAAATATTTACCTTACTTTATAAATTATTTGGAAAAAATCGAAATAAAAATGACACTTCTACACCCTGTATCTCCGAAACTAAGCATTTTAGGACATACATTTATACGAACTTTTTTACAGTTCGGACCACCCTGTATAATGGTTTGATATTTGGAAACATAATTGGTTTCATTCATAGCAAAAATTTCGAAAAAAGCAATTCGAAACAAGGATTGAGGGATGATGAATCTTTAAATCGAATGTAACCTACTACATGTATTGTCTGTTATTTGCAGGTACATTCCGAGGACGAATTAGAAATAATGATTACCAGCCCTCCCGCCCCCAGTACGGAGAGTCTAGCTCTAGCTCACCTGCTGGACAGTGCCCCAGCTAGTAGCCGGACTTCAGCGGCATCCGCCACCGCAGCCCTCACCTCGTTCTCGATCAAGGAGGACGAAGAGGACGCGCCCAAACAGACGACGAGCGAGAGCTCCGGAAAAACAACCACCAGCAGCAGTGTGAAGTGCGCCGGTTCGCAATGTAGCTCTTCTTGTAGTACGGTGGTCGTGACGCCTGTGAGCCAAACTAGTAAGTTATTTTGATTTAGTTTAAAATTTAAATGGTTATTTGGTATGCAGTAATGCAGAAACAAGCAGTGACGTAACTAGGGTTTCCGGAACCGGAGCTGTTTTTCGGAACCGGAAATTACGGTACCGCGCCTCTTAGGATTCCCGGTTTTTTTCGTACTACTAATTTTTGTTCAACGGTAGTGCAGTTCATCAATCAGAAAGCAAGGGATGGTTTTCCAAAGTAAAATAGATAAAAAATAGAGGTTTTTAATGAAAATAATATCAAATTATTAAGTAATCAGTCATGAAAAAATTAACATGAACACAAACATGACCACAAGTAAAGAAAAAAGTATAGGTAACTTAAATTTCACATCAAACAGCATAAACCAACTTGACTGAATTTGAGACAAAAGCACTAAGATATTGAATTAAAAATGCAAATATCTATTAAATCATAACATAATAAATATTATAGGAACTTCAAAAGAGAAAAGAAGCAAGAACAATTAAAAATAGCATGATTACTTACTTAGAAGAGTTTGATTTCGACCGCTAGAAAGTATCAAAGGAGTTTCTCACGCTTAACAAAAAAATATTTTTTATTTATTGTTACCGAGGCCCGGCTCTGTGATGGCCAAAAAGATCTGAACCCTAATTGGTAGTATTAATTACAACCGTACTGAAATATTTTCGTTCAACCATTGTGCAGTTCGTCAATTAGCAAGCAAGGGATGGTTCTCAAAAGTAAAACCCATAAAAAATTGAGTTTCAAATGAAAATAATATCAAATTATTAAGTCATGAGAAAGTAAACATGAACACAAATAATCTATAGAACACAAGCGAAAAGAAAAGAAAACACATAGGTAGCTTAAGAATTACATCAAACATCAATCAACCTCGAAACCAACTTAACTAAATTAGAAAAAACTTAAAATTTTCAATTAAAGATGCAAATGCCTATAAAAACATAAGACAAAAAATATAACGAATAATACAATAATACATTCAGCATTATTATACTAAATAATAAAATAACATATTTAAACTTCAATAATTGCTAATTAACATTATAGAAAGTTCAAAATAACTTGAGAAGTAAGAACAGTAAGAGCATCCATACATATTTAGAATAGTTAGACAAACAAAAGTCTCTCCAAAAAAATCCTTTATGGGTATTTCGCCACTTTTTTTTACCTTTTTAAGTAATTCTTATCAGATAGTAATTGTTAATTTTGAAGTTTAATTTGATATAATGTCATTTTAACAGAACGTCAACGGTTTCTTTGTAGACGTATCCATAAAATAATTAACTAGAAAGAAGTGTCAACTCTGTGTTAAATCGTGGAAACACGATACGCCACCGAAAGCCTTCGTTGTCGTCTGGAGAACTAATTTTCCAATTGACAGGTTGACATGATGGCTTCATTTTTATTTCCGTTTCCGGTTATTCAATGGCGGGCCCTCTTTCAGTTTAAATGTATTTTGTACTCTTTCTTATCATAAATAAAACAAAACAAAATTTTATTCAAACATATTTATTTGAAATATGAGACAACGGGACTAAATAAATATAAAAAATAAAGAATTGAATGATTTCTACAGCAATTACTTAATTATATGCAATTTTAACGTAAATTAGTAAGGTATAAGCATGACTTACAGTAATTTGTAAATAAATACGCGTATTCACAGACATCAAGGATAGAAAACGGGGATAGACATGAAAACGGGAGCCTTATACAAAAATCTGAAAACAGAAAAACAAATTTTTTTATACTAAAATTAACAATGTAAAAATATCAAGGTATAAAATATAAATATACTGTTTAAAAAAAGCGTCCATTATTCCCAAAGAGACCTGGTTTGTAAATCAAAAAGAAGCAAAAAGAGACTTTTAGTCGGGTAACAATCAGATTGTATCAGTCAGATTTACTGCATTATTGACAATAAATCGCACATACTGGAGATAACTAATGTTGGCTATAGTTAAAAATGATCTTACCTTGCTGTAAATTGTTTCCATTTTCAAAAAAATCGCCGATCATAAACATAACAAAATTTTCTTGCATCTAAAAAATACAGAAATAGTGTTTATTTACTACCTATTTTTAATATACATGGGACATACCTAGTACTGCAGAAACGTCTTTTCTCCAGGATTGTTCATGTAATAATATATTTTATATGCTTTACTACCTTTATATTTATAAATTTCTGCCGAAATATCAAATTGAATTTACAAAACAAAACTAACCGGAAAGAATTAAAATGGCGTCGAAATTTGTTCTAGAACAAATCTGAAGTTGTCTCTGAAATCTGTCAATTCTAAACTGTGAAGTTAGACAATAGTTAGAGAGAAACATTGCTGTCCTTGTCTAGGCGGCCATACTTGTCGTCAGGAGATGACAGGATTGACACTAATGACTGTTTCCAATTTTCCTATTTCACTGTCACCCCCCTGGACGTATCTGCTTTCAAAAACTAAAGTGTTCTCATAATAGTTTGAATTTATATATTTTAAATAGTTTTTTTCTTTATTCTTTGTATTTTTTTGCTTCCAACGACGGAAAGAGATAGACTTTCCGAAACGTTAAGCATTTTTTTCTTTGTTAGGCGAATTTTTATTACTGTAAGCATAACTTCTGACAAGCAGTGTCCGTTTAGGTTTAACGCAGAAGTGTTTACAAAAAATAATTATTTTATTTTGTAGATTTTTCTTGCAGTGCAGTGGCGAAATACCCATAAAGGATTTTTTTGGAGAGATGAATCCGCCACATAGGTATAGACATTTTTTAAACAAAAGTCTTTCGCACGTAACAAAAAATATGTTTTTAATTATTATGACCGAGTCCCGAAATAATATTGTAATAATATTGTGTATTGTTAAATACAAATTACAACCAAAGACTGGCAATTTTGATATTATCCAGGATAAATCTATAAAGTAAAAAATAGAAAGAAGTAATAAGAGCTTATCAGAGGATATGGCAGTAATTCAAATTACATTCAAGTAATTCATTAAAGTCAGGACCTATTTTTCATCTGGTCGGGCCCTAAGGCCCAAGCAAAAATTCGGGCCCTTTTTTCCAATAAAATTCAAAAATTCTCTTGTTAGTTTGGGTTAAAAAAATTGGAGCCGGGAGGCACGTATAGCCGCCCATACTAAAATATGTTAATATCTCAAAAACTGCGACTTTGACTGATTTTGATGTTATTACAAATTTTGTTGGAAATATTATTCCTAATCTTAATTTGAAAACCGCGTTTCGCTAGCTACTGTAATTTTGGAGTTAAGATTTTTTAAAATGTTTAATCCCCTCCCATACCCCCTTACCCAACCCCCCACCCCCCTCAAAATATAAAGGCCAGATTCTCGGGTGCCACAGTATTTTTGTGCCAAATTTGGTTAAAATCGGTTGAGCGGTTTTTGAGTTATCGTGTTACAGACGGACAGACAGACAGACACCATGAAAATATTTTGTATTTAGGTCATTTATGACCCAATTATCTCATTTTGAGTGAAATTAAAAAAAACTTTTTTTTTGCCGACCTTAATAGCCTACCATACCTATTGGTATGGTCGGCTAAAAATAAAAAAAATATTTTTATTTTTTTAATAATTTAAAAAAATAAATAAACGTTATTATATTCAACAAAACAAATAATGAAAAAAACAACAATTGATTCTAATTTTAAAAAATAAATAATTTTTTTTCAACAAAACCGAGAACAAAACTTACCTAACAAAATTTCTAATAGTAAATTAACAAAATAAAAAAAAACTTTCTTTTAGTGAACAAAAAAAAAGTAAACAATAACAATTTTACAACCTCTAACGGGCCCCCCAGACCACCGGGCCCAAGGCCCGGGCCTTATGGGTCTTATGATAAAATAGGCCCTGATTAAAGTAAACATTTCAAAGTACCATTCTGCCTTTTGCAAAATTACATCGCACATATATATAGACCTAAATCTTAATTCTTTTTTATTGTTTTATTTCCCGTAAAGGTATTATTTTTTGTTTATGTCCAGTGCGATTGCAAATTTTGATTTTTATATCATTTCCATTATTTTTATAAAACAAATACGATAAAAATTCTAAACCCAATTTATAAATACACATATTCTTAATTGTTGTCTACCACCTTCAACCTATACATTTGTATATTCAATACCAAACCTGAAAAACGCGTCAAATGAGCTTGGTCCTGTATTTATAATTCTTCATTTAATATCTTTTTAACTTTCCTTTGTTTCTTATTAATAATATACCATTTTTTATTACTTTTAAGGCACATAAACTTTTCAAAGTTATAAAAATCTTGCGTACAAGATACTTTAGAAATATAATTTAGTATTTTATGTGTTTATATTTTCTTTAAAGGGGAAATGCAGATGAAGTGATAAACTATAATATTACTTTAATATATCAGTTTTTATCATACAGCATCAAAATATACTTACTTTAAGTCGTCTTCATTATTTTTCTGTTCACTGCATTACTACAGTTCATACCAAACAAACTTTTAGTCACGTGATTAAGCTTGACCGGCACAGCGTTGCCCACTTTTATACAGGGTTGTTCACCACATACGACACGGAGTATTGTAACTAAACGATTAGATTTTTACAAATTGTAATTTTTGGGTTCGTTGAACGACTATTACAGCTACAATTTAAAAATATTTTACAAGATACAGAATGTCCCAAATAAGTAAAAAATATTATAGTTGTATTTTTTTAAACGGAACACCCTGTATATTATTCTATTTTTGGATTCTACGATTGAAATAAAGGTAAATTTGATTAAGGTTTATCACACTTAAACCTTACCGTTTTTGAAATATGTTCAATTTTATGAAATTGCAGTAAAATTTTTAAGGCTTCATTTCTCCAAGGGTATCAAAGTTTTTAATACTAAATATTTACTGAAGATTATTTATTGATCAGATATTGTGTTGCAATAATAAAACTTTTACTACCTTATACAGAGTGTCCAAAAATTCGTATTAAATAATTACTAGCTTTAAACGGCAATAACTTGTTTAATTTAAATGGAACACCCTATATATTTTAAGTGAATTAGATGCACAATGTAATTGTCTATCAAATTGTATTATACCATTTTTTACCCATCTCTTCAAGTTTTTGTAGAAAATGCATTTTCTTATAATTTAGACCTCATTTATCACTATACCCATGTTGACTTTTTAGCTTATTTTTAAAGATGTAACAAATTTTCAAATGGTACAGATACTAAAATTGTCGATATAGTTGCTTATTTAATTAAAAATTAAAAAAAATGTTTAAATATTTTTTGTTAAAGAGGACCAATTAATATGATCCCAGTATTCAAACTACATTAATTGACTGTTTACGTTGATTAATAATAATTGCTCCAAATACTAAAAAACTGAATTTTGTGTGTGTATTAGACAGTGTGGTAAAAAGTAACACCTTATAAATTTTATTTAATTTTTTGACGAATTTATATAAATGAAAATTTTATAAAAACAGAGACGTTCATTTTCATAACTTATTATTATATTGATTTTTGGGCCAAATCCATATTTATTTAGAATACTTTATTAATTAAAACAAATTAGACACACATAGAGGTAATTAACTAATTTTTGGTGGTTTTGGTCGGAAATAATGGTGATATAATTAATTGGTATACTCTTTTACAAAGATTTAAATAGTTTTTTTTTGTATGCCAATGAGCTTGCAATATTTACCACCTGTACATTTTGTACATATATGGTGATATAAAAAAATCTGAAATGTCAATATTCCATGGATATAGTGATAAATGAGGTCTAAATTATAAGAAAATGTATTTTCTACGAAAACCTGACGAGATAGGTAAAAAATGGTATAGTACAATTTGATAGACAATTAAATTGTGCATCTGATATATAGGGTGTTCCATTTAAATTAACCAAGTTATTGCCGTTTAAATCTAGTAATTATTTAATATAAATTTTTGGACACTCTGTATAAGACAGTAAAATTTTTATTAATGCAACACAATATCTAATCAATGAATAATCTTCAGTAAATATTTAGTATTAAAAACTTTGATACCCTTGGAGAAACGAAGCCTTAAAATTTTTACTGGAATTTCATAAAATTGAAAATATTTCAAAAACGGTAAGGTATGATAAACCAATCAAATTTACCTTTATTTCGATGGTAGAATCCAAAAATAGAATAATATACAGGGTGTTCCATTTAAAAAAATACAACTATAATATTTTTTACTTATTTGGGACACTCTGTATCTTGTAAAAATATTTTTAAATTGTAGTTGTAATAGTTCTTCAACGAACCCAAAACTTACAATTTGTAAAAATCTAATCGTTTAGCTACAATACTCCATGTCGTATGTGGTGAACAACCCTGTATGTTTTCTTTTGATGAAAATATTTTAGGATAAATTAATTATAAATATATAAACAGGACACATGGGATACAAATTGTCATTTTCCCCGTTCAAAAGATTCTAATAAAGTCCGTTTTCCCATTCAAAAGATTCTAATAAAGTTGCGATGAGCTTTTTACGGTTATTAAGATATCTTGCACATTTCGCACAAAAAGAGGTTCTAAAAAGAACAATGTTCAACTGCAAGGTCTGCTAGTAAACGTTTTGAAGGTTAAAGTATCACAACACTATGTATTTAAACTAAAAATTCATAATACAAAACTGAAGTGTCAAAACGAGTGACAATGTCAGGAAATAAATAAATAAATGCGGTAACTTGACATTTTTAACACCAGAGCTACCACCTGAATCCCCAGCGCTAAATTTCGATTCCAGTTAGTCAGCACGGCGCCGAATATGCGTCCACGTAAAAGTTTAATTGATATCAAATATACCAATTTTTACTTATTATTTGACATAGTAGCATTAAACTATAACAAATTCATTTTTATTATTTCCAGAACCGAAAAGACGTAGACCATCTACCAGTAGCAGTTTAGAATTGGGATACTCCCACACCGCGCAGAATTCCGCCGTCAGCGATGCCACCTGCATAGAAATAGACACCAGAGAGCCAGTATACACTGGACCGGCACCCAGCAGCCACACCAGCGGAGTTTACACTCTGACCTCCAGCGAACACTGCACTTTGAGTTCGGCCGAAAACTACGCCAACACCTCAAGTGAATACGTCGCCACCACCGAAGCCTCTTTCATGACCGTTAGCAGCGACCAAATTGACGGCCCTTTTAGGGACAGAGCCAATTCGAACATTAGTAATTCCTCGTTTCATGGTGACGGAAGCGATCCAACGAACAATAAACAGGCGCTGTTATCAGCTGAGGAGTTGTCAGATTTGATCGTAGGACGGTATCCTTCGAGGAAAAGTGTTAGTAATACGTTAGATTCAGATTCGGATTATGTCACCTTGCCTTCAGGGTACCAGACGTACGCTCCTATTCCTCCCAAGAGAATTGACAGTGTGGATCCGAGATATCGACCACCTCCTCCACCTTATATACAATCCATCAAGTTAAAGGAGACAGAAAGTGATGTTTTGGACTGCGATCTAGTGAGTTCTTTTTCGGAGATATCGATGAAGGACCCACCGCCATACCCTGATAACCCAACGCCAGTTCCCCCTCCGGTGTATCCATTTGAAGAAGCGGCTGCCAGGTTTATAACAACGAGGTCTCCAAATATTTTAACTGCTCATGTTAGTGCAGTGAGTGTTAGTTCAACTCCTAGCTATTCCGCACCAAGCACTAGCAGCTCGTTACCTCCAATTCCACCAAAAATACCAAGACCCACTATTACGATGGCTAGTAACGGAATTGTTTCACCTGGAGGATCGGTTTTAGTACCGTGCACATTTCTTCCTCCACCTCCTCAGCCTGCGCCACGTCAACCACCTCCACCGCCACCTCCAGCTTTAGCAACTTTGTACACCAGTCAACTGTCTAGGTCTCAAATAGAACAATACCAACAACAGATGTATAGCGACGTGGATTTCGTAGTGTTTCCATTAAAAGAGCCGGCGATTAGTAAGCAGGAATACCTGGAAGCTAAGCAAGGATCGATACTAGCTGCGCTAGCCCACCAGCCGGTTTTCTATCGGAGCACTCCCTATTTGGGGAGGTACGCGTCAAGTCAGAACTTGTCCGATACCTACGTGCAATTGCCAGTATACGGAGCCCCTAGTATCGCATCTTCGGGAAGTTTAGATCCTCCTCCACCACCCTTACCGCCAACAAGGCCTTCAAGGTTTTTAAGGGCACAGTCGGACGATAATATTTTGAATTCTCTGGAACATACGCCTCAACCTCCGAAGTTCCGTAGACTTCCCCCTCCTCCTCCACCTATTCCTGAAAAGAACAGGGCACTACTTAAGAGACACAATCTTTTAGATACAAAACTGACTAATATTAATAGTGTAAACAGTTTGGATAGGCTTCATAATGGAACAGGGGTCGCGGGAGACACCACTAGAGGTTCTTCGGCGTTAGACATACGTACATTGAGGGAAAAAAGTAAAAAGCTCGATTTACCGCTGATTGCTGCTTTGTGCAACGACAACTCCTTGATAAAGCAGACGAAGGCGTTTGTAATGCCCAAGCATCCCGGAGAGGTGTCGCCTCCTCGACTGGAGAGGAACACCGTCCGGGGGAAGTACCCCGTGTCGGGATTGAGCAGTACGAAGATGCAGAAGAATAGCAGGAAGCTTCCGGCGGTTAGTCACCGTCACCCAGCTGATAAACTGCCGGAAATTCCCAGGGCTTTGCCCAATAACTACGTCATCACGGGGACGACGACTACGACGAGTCAGGCGAAACAAAAAGGTGTGCAATCGTAACAGAGACATTTTTAGGGACGGTAGTTTACTAAATGCAAGAGAAATCGTGTAAATTTTAAGTGTCTAGTGTTAAAAAGTGCGCGCGCATCTACCATTTCCTTCCGATGTGCCTATATATTTTAAGAATTGAATAGAGGCCCAGTAATATTATTTATATTTATGTAAATTGTGGATGCGCGAAAAAATTACAGTATCTGAACGTATTTGGTGTTAGAATATTTAATTCTGAAATATGAAAACTATTTGGATATAGAAAAATAAAAATTGACAAGTTTCCTATATGCTTTATTACAAATACAGGGTTGTTCGCCACATACGACACGACATGGAGTATTGTAGCTAAACGATTAGATTTTTGCAAGTTTAAGGTTCGTTGAGGGACTATTAGAGCTACCATTTAAAAATATTTTTACAAGATACAGAGTGCCCCAAATAAATAAAAAATATCAAAGTTGTATTTTCTTAAATGGAACACTCAGCGTATTATTACATTTTTAGTTTTAACGGTTAAAATAAAGGTAAATTTGATTAAGGTTTATCACACTTAAACCTTACTGTTTTTTAAATATCTAAGTTTTTGTCAAAATGCAGTAATAATTTTAATGCTTCATTTCTCTAGGCATATTTAAGTTTTTAAAACCAAATATTGTATTGAAGTATTTCCATTTACTGAATTTTGTGTTGCAACAATAAAAAATTATACTAAGTTGTGTCTAATTTGTGTGTAAAAACTAATTTGTGTCTAAAAATTTAAAAAAATTTAAATAATTACTAGCTTTAAACGGCAATAACTTGTTTAATTTAAATGAAACACCCTGTATATTTTAGGAGAATCAGATGCACAATTTAATTGTCTATCAAATAGTATTATCCGATTTTTTCTTTATCTCTTCAAGTTTTCGTAGAAAATGCATTTTCTTATAATTTAGACTTACCCATGGAATATTATATATGTACATTTTGTACATATTTGTTGGCTTTAAAAACAATCTAAAATGTCAATATTCCATGAGTATATTGATAAATGAGGTCAGAATTATAAGAAAATGCATTTTCTACGAAAACTTGAAGGGATAGGTAAAAAATGGTATAATACAATTCGATACACAATTAAATTGTGCATCTGATTCTCCTAAAATATACAGGGTGTTATATTTAAATTAAACATGTTATTGCCGTTTAAAGTTAGAAATTATTTAAAATAAATTTTTAGACACTGTGTATGAGGTAGTATTATTTTTATTATTGCCACACGATAACTGACCAATAAATAAAATTCAGTAAATGTGTAGTATTAAAAACTTTGATACCCTTGGAGAAATGAAGTTTTAAAATTTTTACTGCAATTTCACAAAATTGAAAATATTGATGAACCTTAATCAAATTTACTTTTGTTTTAATCGTAGAAACTAAAAATGTAATAATTTGCAGGGTGTTCCATTTAAAAAATACAACTTTGATATTTTTTATTTATTTGGGACACTCTGTATCTCGTAAAAATATTTTTAAATTGTAGCTCTAATAGTCCTTCAACAAATCTAAAACTTACAATTTGCAAAAATCTAATCGTTTAGCTACAATACTCCGTGTCGTATGTGGTGAACAACAACAATATCTTTTTAAAGGTCGATAGCAAAGTTTTTTTAAGTGTTGACTGATGACAAATGAATGAAATATAACTGTTAAGTAACGCAGATGTTTGTTAGACCATTTTGATCTTTCGCTAAACAGAACCAAAAGAATTATACAGTTTTAGCAAGGGTTTCAAAAAATTTCTTTTAATCACTCTATAGTCCAGTAAATGACAGGAAACGATCTAAACCTCTGCTTAATTTGTTGATCATGACTTTTTGACGGATTGTGTAGTTTTTAGGAAGTAGTTTTATGGGAAAACACCGTGCATGGCCGAAAAATGGCTCCAAATGGCCAAAAAATCAGTTTTTTACAAATATCTGCCAAAATATGCAATTTAAAAAATTTTAGGTCATTATCTACAAAAAAGGTTCTGACATTCTTTTTCCACGGAAACGGTTAAAAACGGCCCTAAAGGGTCAAAGACCGGGTTTTTGGCCAATATTGGCAATATGAATACGAAATATGGCACGTAGATGATGTTCATGATCGCCAAATTAAAGATTGGGTCCTTTGTTAAAAATATGATCCTAACACTTTTTTGCGTAAAGTTGTTCGTAAAAAGAAACTAGTTCAACTATTGGTAATTATGCAATTTTCTTTTGTTTACGACACTTTCGGGAAATCCCAAAAAAGAGGAAAAAGCCGCTCACGAATAGTTATTTTGTATTAAAATGTGATTAAACAACTTCTTCAAATTTTCAATGATACGCTTATGCATTAGCGTAACTAGCAATTTATCCAGGGGTGAGCCGGGGGGAGGTAAGCACAGGGGGGCTAGAGCTTTTGTTTTTTTAATAATGAAAAATAATTTAAAAAAACAAATTTTTTGAATAAAACGTTTACATGAATTTCTCTATCAATAAATTTCATACAATTGGTTATCAAACCGTGTTCCCGTAGATTACTTAAATATCTACAAATTTTCTAAAAAAATCAAAATTAACACATTTTTTGAACACAACAAAATAATATTAACTAAACAAAACTAGAAAACGTCATTTTTACTGCATCACAAGCAAATAAAAACTAATACGTAGCCAAGAGTCATAATTCAGGATTTCTCTGGGGGGTGCCCAGCAGTGCCTGGGGGGGGCGGCACCCCCGGGCCCCCCTGTGGTTACGCCCATGGAATCTATCTTTGGAGTGTTAAGACTTGGAGAGAAAATTGAGGGATCTTCGAGGCGGAATATCTCGAAAACTACTAATTCTACGTAAAAAAATGATAAGAACTATTTTTGTAGGTAATTACCTAAGATTCATTTTGTAAATTGCATATTTAGGCAGATATTTGCGAAAAACTGATTTTTTTGCCATTTGGAGCCATGTTTTTCCCACCACGGTGTTTTTTCCCTAAAAATACTCCCCAAAAGGTACACAATCCATCTGAAAAGTCCCGATCGACGAATTAGGCCGTGGTTTCAACCTTCATTAACTGGACTATCTGAAGGAAGTGGTTTTTGGATTATTACTTGGGGGAAAATGCGTAGTCCATATTTGTTAGAGCCATATTTAACAATACCAAATTCGTTCAGGTACATTTTATTTTTAAAATAAATTTCTATTTCTCGATAATTTTCCCTTTTTCTAGAACAAATCATTTCTGACATTCCAGTTTTCGTATTTTATTAAGTAAAATTAAATAATGTGTTTTATACTCAGGGTGCCATCATTGTTGAATTTTAAGAGGAACTTCATTTTACTTCACATTGTTTCTTTTCACACTGAATGTCAGTATTTCCGATACAATATACTATGTTTGACTAGCGTACGACGAGTAAGCCATTTTTCTTCTTGTTTTTATAATAATTAGTCTATTAGTGTAAATCACATAAATATACCTCGCGTTTGACATACATAACTAAATATCTCACCGAAGAAACTATAGAAATCAGAAATTTTAGATTGTATCATTTTTATGCTAGTTGAACTATGCTTCTTTTGGTTGCCAAGTTAAAAGATTTCCCTAATAATGTATATAAATGTTATATTTTATTTGCACGTCCGAAATAAGATTATAGCAGTAATGTATACACTTGCTCAACTTTAAATATTAATACTGAAGTTATTGTTTAATTTTTTTTATTTATTTCTTTGTATCAAAATCTGTAAAGCTTCAATCAAGTGTATGGTCATAGATGGTGCTGACATCATTTTTTTTAATAAAGTGAATTAAAGACCTGATCTTTTGGTTTTATTTTATTCTTTTCAAAAAAATTGTTGTGTAATTATTAAGATAATAATGCTTACTGGGGGCTTTACGCACGATGGGAGTAAAAACTCAATTCAATTCAATGGGAGTAGTCAAATTCAATTCAGTCAAAACGTTAAATGTAACGATAGAGGCTTGGCTTAAATAAATATTAGTAACAATAACAGAACTAAGGATATTAAAATAAATAACTGTAATAAAACTAAATGTACAAACAAACAAAAAATTTGTAAAAAATACTTTAATACTTTGTATTGCCTCCCCCGGCTGCTATAACTGTCTGTAGACGTTGGTTCATACTATTAATGAGGCAGCAAATACATTCTGTTCTGTTTTCCTATTCTTCTCTCAAGGACAAGTGAACAGTCATAATTTTGGCTATCTTTAACAAGATCAATGCTTATTGCACAATCTTCGACACTAAGAACCATATTCAATCGTACACAACAATAATCACCAAGGTCACCTCGTCAATATGACGAATAACATCAAAAAGTAACGATAATTGAAAAAATTGCAAAATGTTTGTGGCAAATTCATTTTGCTCTTAAAAATTAACCAAGGCATGTGTTGACATCAGTCAAAACAACAAAATATTCAGGAGACATGGCTCTGATCGAAAAATAATGTTTCAGGAAAATTTGCCCATGAAATTATTGCACAGGGTGTTTTAAAGATAGGATCAAAAACAACTCTTCGATTAACCCTGTACAATAAGTCAAATATTAAAGTTAATAATAAACTGAGTTTACGAATTAAAATTGATATATTTACACAGGGTGTCATTTTTTTTTCCACAATAAGGGGCCGTCCTCTGCCGGAAACACTGCGACCTGTGAGGCCTATTGTGTTTGTCCCCTTTCTATATCTGCAACCATTCTCCTATCCCTGTGCCCTGCACTAACTTATGCAGGTCCTTGATAGGATGGGAGCATAGTTCCTCCGGTTCTAGCCTAGCTTTCCCAAATAAAAAGTGTCGCTTGCGATCCAGAGCCTCGCAGTGACATATTATGTGCTCCGCTGTTTCAGGATCTTTATCGCAGAGTCTGCAGCAAAGACTTCCTTGATACAGATTGAGCTTGTTCAGGTAACACTTGACAGCCATATGTCCTGTCAAGAGGCCTGTTGTAATCCGCAATTTATTCCTGCTAAGCATTAGCAGTTCTTTTGCGGTTTTGGAGCTAGGTCCTTGGATAAAAGCCTTGCTGTGCCTGTGCCCCTGTCTGTTTCTCCAGTGGACATTCTGCTTTTCTCTGATCCAGAGTTTTAATGCACTACGGGCCATACATTTGGGTATTCCCAGTACTGGCTCTGGACCAAGATAAGATGCCGATGATCCTTGCCTAGCTAGCTCATCGGCTTTTTCGTTGCCTTGGATGCCGCTGTGGCCCGGCACCCAGAATAATTTAATTCTGTTCCGTCGAGCCAGAGCTTCCAGTTCACCTAGGCATTCCCAGACGAGTCTCGACGATACCTTTGGGCTCATAATTTGAGCCCAAGTGCCGCCTGACTGAGCATATATTGATGAGCTTATCTGAATAAGCTCTTCTATTGTTTTCTCTCGCACATTGTAGAATGGCGAAAATTTCTGTCTGGAATACGGTTGAGTGTTTACCCAAGGAAAAGGATAAACTTACCCTTGGTCTTTCCCCAAATACTCCAGCTCCTGTTCCTTCAGCGGTCTTTGACCCGTCTGTATACCAGGTTAGTCCATCCTGAAGGAATGTTATATCTGTCCACATTCCTCGATCCATTTTGTTCACCTCGAATGGTTTGTGGAAGTAATAAAGAGGGGTCATCTGGTCCGATCTCATTTGGAGTAGAGGTCCCCCGATAGGATTTCCTATCTTTGAGTGTCCTGTTTCTGTCCTATTTCCCAGAGACAAGACACTTTGTTGTCGATAGAGTCCCATTCTTGCCTCCGCCTGGATCACTATGTGAAGAGGCGGAAGGTCAAGAAGCGCCTCCATTGATGCAGTGGGCGTTGATTTCATCGCCCCTGTTATGCTCAGACAAGCAAGTCTTTGCACCTTGCTGAGGCTGAGCATTGTTGTTTGTTGTATTACCTTAGGCCACCATACCAAGGATGCATATGTTACTGAAGGCCTCACCACTCCAGTGTACAGCCAGTGCACCATCTGTGGTCTAAGGCCCCAGATTTTTCCATGAAGGCGTCTGACTACCGCTAGTGTAGTCACCGCCCTCCTTGTGACATTTTCCAAATGTCGGTTCCAGGTCAGTTTGGTATCAAGCGTGATTTCTTCTATTATATATATTCTGCGCTTGGTGAAGGGGATTATTACGGTCTTTGTAGGACTAATATTTAGTCCCTCCCGTGTCACCCATAATTCCACAATCTTCAAGGCCCTTTGCATTCGCTCCCTTACTGTTGTGTTAAACTTACCTCTGACTAACACGACCAAATCGTCTGCATATCCCAGAGTGTTGAAACCAGCCCTGTTGAGGCTATTAAGCAGTCCGTCCATAACGAGATTCCACAGCAGAGGGTGTTATTGAAATGGTGTAAAAAAATCGGAGGGTGATAGTACTCCTAAAAATAGTAAAAAAAGTTCCTATAAGTATAGGGCGGAAAATGCATATTAAGGGAGTTAGGGGCACTGAAAGGGTGAATTTAAAAAACGGTTGTTTTGAAATTGTAGAAAAAAAATCCTCTTCCATAAATTTTGACCCTAAATCAAATGGTGGTACTTAAAAATTATTTGGAAAAGCGGAAAGGGTAGTTTTTGCAAGGGTGGGGGGTTATTTCGTGGATAACTTTTTTGAGGTTAATTTTTTTGCAACGTAGGTTCATTTTTTGAAAACTACATACTTTTTCCTACAAAAAAGATACTCTTGTTGCACATCGCCCAGAGCGATGGTTTTCGAGAAAATTGAAGGAAAAGAGTTTGCTCCGATGGGTTCCTAACTGGTTAATCAACATAAACTTTAAGTTATGGCGGTTCAAAAGTAACCAAGTAGTTATCAAATAATTAATTGAAAAATCAAAATTTCATGATTTTTAAAACATCATATTGCTTTAAAAAATGAAATAATCCAATTACCTAATTAAAAAAATATAACATTTTAAAAACTTAACCAAATTTTTTTCCGTTGAGTTTTTTGCATTTGAGTGTATTAAGGTTTTCTCCTTTGGTTTGCTCTTATAGCTAGTTAGCTCTAGTTAACAGCGCTATAATATTCTGGGTAGTGTTCTAGTATTGTGAAGAGATATAACTGGTTAAAGAAAATACGAATTTCCAAAAAAAATCAGGACACAATTTACGTTTTAAAATAAATTTTATTTTAAAAAATAAATATAACACAAGTCATTAATAACTAATTTTTGAAGAGCATTTCTATGTAATATCTTAATTACACTTAATCTAATACTATAACGACTGATTCCCCAGGCAACAGATTAACCTCCTTAAAAGATATTGTTTCTGATGTCGAGTCTGCTCGTGGGCCTACAACAACTTGTCCAGTGTACAACAAAGTAGACAGATCGGCAGATATCTTATTACTGCCCAAATTACTGGCAACCACGTAAGCTTTCCTTCTGGGATACCATCTTTGAATCACCAGAAAATCTTTCTCCGCGTACATCACTTCAGCATTCGCCTTATTATCACCTTGCTTGAAGACAGAGTTCATATAAATTAAAGGTGTGATCGACCTCTTAACTCTGTCATTTTAGACACTACCTCCACTTGATCGTAGAGTGCGTTAGCGTTACCTCCGTATATCCAAGGCAGAACTTTTGATTGTTCGTTCCTCCAAGGCATCATCATAAGCTGATGAAGATGCTTGATATCTTTCCTGTTTTCTTCGGGATCTGAGATTTCGTGCAGCCCTATTTCATCACCGTAAAACACAGACGGTGTTCCAGGAAGCATCATTTGGAGCAGAGTTGCCCCTAAAGTAGCATTGCCGTAGTTCAAAACGTTTGCAAGGCGATTTGAGTTTATGTTTCCTAAAGACCATTGCACCCACGGCATCCCTGGTTTGGTAAATAGAGAACTGTTTTGTATAGAATCTATTTGTTTGGTGACATAAGAAACACCTTTTTCTATATTTAGTTTCACGTCAATTAAATCAAAGTTGTTTAGAATTATGTTTAGGTTTTCTTTTGGAGTTGCATCTACGATATTGTCGCTTATAATTAAAATTTTATCGCTTCCCAGTAATTTTTTCCAATGTCTTATAAGTCTAGCAGTGGTATAATCTTCTGCGTGGTGTTCTAGTCCTTTTAAGTAGAATCCATCAACACCATGTAATGCCCAAAACTGTATGGTATCCTCCACCAAATCAAAATCTTCTAACTTGAGATAGTCACTTTTGGGATCCATAGTCGCATTCCTCACCTCGTTACTTGTAGTAATTGCTTTTTTAGCTACGTGCTTTTGAATAAAGGACAAGACTGGTAAATCTAGTATCAAAGAAATGTTTCTAGACTTCAAATGTTTGACTAAGCTTTTAAAATCTTCTAGAGTTCCTAATATGGGATCGATTTCGGTTAAACTCGAAGCTTTTTCGAAATCTTTCGGATAACATGGCGATCTAAATATAGAATTAAGTCTTACACCTCTAACTCCCTAAAGTTCATTAAATAGTCGCTCTTCAAGGCTATTCCTTTTAAGTCACCTTCCATTTTGTAAGTACTACTGTAGAAACTGGCTGGGAAAATTTCGTAGAGTAAGTTCCTTTGATACCATTCGGTTGTAGGATTGCAGCTTTTGGGTAGTCTAGCTATCATAACTGTTACGACCGCTATTATAGCTGCCAAGCCAGACAGAAGCATGTATAAGGAGATATTTTGAATTAGCGGACAGTTCCATGACACGAAAATATAGTCTTGTGGAACGTTCTGGAAACTTAGCTGGATTTGACCCAGTCTCGCGTTTGACTTGTTCTTTTGATGAAAAAATTTAACTGGTTTATTTTTTTGAATAAAAATATGGACACATTTTACGTTTTAAAATAAATTTAATTTTAAAAAATAAATATAAGACAAGTCATTAATAACTAATTTTTTTTAAAGTATTTGTAAGTATATCTTAATTATACTTAATCTAAAACTATCCCGACGGATTCCCCAGGCCATAGATTAACTTCCTTGAAAGATATTGTTTCTGACGTCGAGTCTGCTCGTGGGCCTACAACAACTTGTCCAGTATACAACAGAGTAGACAGATCGGCAGATATCTTATTACTACCCAAATTACTAGCAACCACGTAAGCTTTCCTTCTTGGGTACCATCTTTGAACCACCAGAAAATCTTTCTCCGCGTATTTCACTTCGGAACAGCGTTGGCCTTATTATCACCTTGCTTGAAAACTGAGTTCATATAAATTGAAGGTGATCGACCTCTTAAGTCTGTCATTTTAGACACCACCTCCACTTGATCGTAGAGTGCGTTAACATTACCTCCGTATATCCAAGGTAGAACTTTCGATTGCTCGTTCCTCCAAGGCATCATCGTAAGCTGATGAAGATGCTTGATATCTTTCCAGTCTTCTTCGGGATCTGAGATTTCGTGCAGCCCTATTTCATCACCGTAAAACACAGACGGTGTTCCAGGAAGCATCATTTGGAGCAGAGTTGCTCCTAAAGTAGCATTGCCGTAGTTCAAAACGTTTGCAAGTTGATTTGAGTTTACGTTTCCTAAAGACCATTGCACCCACGGCATCCCTGGTTTGGTAAATAGAGAACTGTTTTGTATAGAATCTATTTGTTTGGTTACATAAGAAACACCTTTTTCTATATTTAGTTTCACGTCAATTAAATCAACGTTGTTTAGAATTATGTTTAGGTTTTCCTTTTGGAGTTGCATCTACAATATTCTCGCTTGTAATTAAAATTTTATCGCTTCCGAGTAACTTTTTCCTACGTCTTATAAGTATGGCAGTGTTATAGTCTTCTGCGTGGTGTTCTAGTCCTTTTAAATATAATCCATCAACACCATGTAATGCCCAAAACTGTATGGCATCTTCCACCAAATCAAAGTCTTCCAACTTGAGATAGTCACTTTCGGGATCCATAGTCGCATTCTTTACCTCGTTACTTGTAGTTATTGCCTTTTTGGCCACGTGATTTTGAATAAAGGATGAGACTGGTAAATCTAGTATTGAAGAAATATTTCTAGACTTCAAATGTTTAACTAAGCTTTTAAAGTCTTCTAGTGTTCCTAATATGGGATCGGTTTCGGTTAAACTAGAAGCTTTTTCAAAGTCCTTCGGATAATGTGGCGATCTAAATATAGAATTAAGTCTTACACCTCTAACTCCCAAGTTTATTAAGTAGTCGATTTTCAAGGCTATTCCTTTTTTTATCGCTTCCTCTAAGTCACCCTCCATTCCGTGAGTACTACTGTAGAAACTGGCTGGGAAATTTTCGTAGAGCAAGTTCCCTTGATACCATTCATTTGGGGGGATTGCAACTTTTGAGTAGTCTAGCTATCATAGCTATTATGAGCGCTACCATAGCTGTCAAGCCAGATAGAAGCATGTATAAGGAGATTTTTCGAATTAGCGGCAAGTTCCATGACAGGAAAAAGTAGTCCTATGGAATGTTTTGGAAACTTAGATGGATTTGACCTGCAGTGCTCAATGTTTCGCACTAGTCTTTTTAAAATAATTTAGTTTCGTGTTTGACTTGTTTTTTTTGGTAAAAAGATGTAATTGGTTTATCTAGTATAACAGAAAAAAGCAATTATGCATAATATCAAAAAAAAAATCTGGACACATTTTACGTTTCAAAATTTTATTTTAAAAAATAAATATAACACAACTCATTAATAACTAATTTTTGTAGAGCATCTCTATGTATATTTCAATTATACTTAATCTAAAACTATGACGACTGATTCCCCAGGCCATAGATTAACTTCCTTAAAAGATATTGTTTCTGACGTGGAGTCTGCTCGTGGGCCTACAACAACTTGTCCAGTGTACAACAAAGTGGACAGATCGGCAGATATCTTATTACTGCCCAAATTACTAGCAACCACGTAAGCTTTCCTTCTTGGGTACCATCTTTGAACCACCAGAAAATCTTTCTCCGCATATTTCACTTCGGCATTCGCCTTATTATCACCTTGCTTGAAAACTGAGTTCATATAAATTGAAGGTGATCGACCTCTTAAGTCTGTCATTTTAGACACCACCTCCACTTGATCGTAGAGTGCGTTAACGTTACCTCCGTATATCCAAGGTAGAACTTTCGATTGCTCGTTCCTCCAAGGCATCATCGTAAGCTGATGAAGATGCTTGATATCTTTCCTGTCTTCTTCGGGATCTGAGATTTCGTGCAACCCTATTTCATCACCGTAAAACACAGACGGTGTTCCAGGAAGCATCATTTGGAGCAGTGTTGCTCCTAAAGTAGCATTGCCGTAGTTCAAAACGTTTGCAAGGCGATTTGAGTTTACGTTTCCTAAAGACCATTGCACCCACGGCATCCCTGGTTTGGTAAATAGAGAACTGTTTTGTATAGAATCTATTTGTTTGGTGACATAAGAAACACCTTTTTCTATATTTAGTTTCACGTCAATTAAATCAACGTTGTTTAGGATTATGTTTAGGTTTTCTTTTGGAGTGGCATCTACGATATTCTCGCTTATTATTAAAATTTTATCGGTTCCGAGTAATTTTTTCCAACGTCTTATAAGTCTAGCAGTGTTATAATCTTCTGCGTGGTGTTCTAGTCCTTTTAAATAGAATCCATCAACACCATGCAATGCCCAAAACTGTATGGCGTCTTCCACCAAATCAAAATCTTCTAACTTGAGATAGTCACTTTCCGGATCCATAGTCGCATTCTTAACCTCGTTACTTGCAGTTATTGCCTTTTTGGCCACGTGCTTTTGAATAAAGGACGAGACTGGTAAATCTAGTATCAAAGAAATGTTCCTGGACTTCAAATGTTTGACTAAACTTTTAAAATCTTCTAGTGTTCCTAATATAGGATCGATTTCAGTTAAACTAGAAGCTTTTTCAAAGTCTTTCGGATAATGTGGCGATCTAAATATAGAATTAAGTCTTACACCTCTAACTCCCAAGTTCATTAAATAGTCGCTTTTCAAGGCTATTCCTTTTAAGTCACCTTCCATTCCGTGAGTACTACTGTAGAAACTGGCTGGGAAGATTTCGTAGAGTAAGTTGCCCTGGTACCATTCGGTTGGAGGATTGCAGCTTTTGGGTAGTCTAGCTATCATAGCTATTACAAGCGCTACCATAGCTGCCAAGCCTGACAGGAACATGTATAAGGAGATTTTTCGAATCAATGGCCAGTTCCATGAGACGAAAAAGTAGTCTTGGGGAACGTTTTGGAAACTTAGCTGGATTGGGCCTGCGGTGCTTGATGTTTCGCACTAAAATGATTTATTGAATAAAAATAGACACATTTAAAATATGAGTGGTATTTTGGTATACCTGGGCTGCAGCTTCTTCATCGTCGGGTATATGAAGGTAACTGTTTCTTCGATTTAGAAGTTGAGAGCAGACTGCTGGGTCCGCTGAGGATGAAGCAGATGAGATTGATTCAGCATCGGGGCTTTTATCTGTAATGTATAAATATGATACTCAGTATAATTTAGTATAAAATATATTAAGAATAAGAGTACTAATATACCCGGTGCGTCTCGAAAGTGGCACCCCCTATAACTTTTTTATTTTTTCAGAGAAAAAAAACGACATTTGGTATGTTAGTATATGACATAAATTAGGATTGATTGAGGTATTCAATTGTCTTTGGTCACTTCCTGTTTCACAGGAAATGTTACAATCACCACATGTTACAATTTCAAATAGGCCACATGCAAATATGTCAAAAGTTGACATATGGTTTGTTATTCTATTCAGAGTATCATTTTGTAAATATGCTAATCAGCCACTCTTGTTCTATTTGAAAAAATTGAGATACGGTTAAAAATACCATTGGTGCATATTTTAACCGGCTAGGGACAAGACACGAAAAACATTAAATGATCAAAACTATTTTTCCAAGGCTCCTTGATTAAAAATTAGTGTTTTAACACAGCCATGACACTCTAGATTGAAATTTAAAATACGTTTTGTTTTTAACCGAAAATGTCAAAAATTGCCATTCTATGCAGAATATCACTTTATATCGAATAAAGTAGAAATATACCGAGGGTACCATTTTAAAATCAAAAGTTGTAGTCGTTTCCGATGAAACAGAAAGTGACAAAAACAATTGAATACGTCAATCAATCCTAACATGTCATATACTAACATACCAAATATCGTTTTTTTTATCTGAAATAATAAAAAAGTTATAGGGGTGAGCCACTTTTGAGACGCACCCTCTACAGATAGGTACATATATATTAAAATATGAAACAAATGTTAATAAAAGTATAGAATTTGTTGCAAAAAACAAATATAATTATTTAGCTTTTTTAATGCTAATTATCCAAACAAATTCTTTTCTTGGTCTACATATATAACAGTAAATTCATTATTTTACAGAATTTTTTAGTATTGTTGAAGATGTGCTAATAAGCTTAATGCATTTTTACATGATTCGAAAGCGTAATAACATATTTTATATATTTTAACAAAATGAATAGTTTCTTCCAAGCCGAGCACAGCCGTACCATCCTTTTCTCGAAGGTATTAGCGGCACTTTTGACCACCCTGTAGCTTCGTTATGGATAAAGCAAGAATATTAATTTTCTCCAAACATGAGGACATACTGCTGGCTAGATTACCAAAATATCTAGTAATCCTTGGACAATTTATTATTCTTGAACCTTGTTTTTAAAAATTCTGATTTTTCTTTATTTTCTTGGGATTTAGGTTCGGGAAAACTCTAATTAAGTTTTCATTTGGTTTTTCATATCTTAATTTCATTTTTAAAAGGAAAAACTACTAGTAGTATCGCTAGCTGAAATCAGCCGTAGTCAATATACATAGATAGTTTTAGTGTTACGAATCATAATTTTAAAAAATGTGTCATCTTTTGACAAGTCTATTTTAGTTTATTAATTATAGTAAACATTATGTTATGTGTGTTTGTGAGTTTTTTGTATGTAATTTTTGGATTATGTTCGACACTGTTTTTTTTTATTTGACACTACACTTATGAAGGCTGTAATGTTTGGCCGAAACGTTTGTTTTTCCTTTTAAAAATGAAATAAAGATATGAAAAACCAAATGAAAACTTAATTAGAGTTTTCCTGAACCTAAATACCAAGAAAATAAAAAAAAATCAGAATATCTAGTAATTATACCTCATCGTTTTTGAATTATCGCTTGTCATGTTTCTTTAATTTCGACATTGACTCACTGACACATCATCAAAATTCTAAGGTACTTCTAGATGTGTCGCAAACTTCAAATCTTGAATTTTAGGTAGCTTTAAGCTTATAACTAAAGGAAAAAATGAAAAATCTTGAAATAGGCGTATTGACTAAAAGTTACCTGTCTAGCCGCTACAGATAATTGGCTTTCCAGTCGAGAAAAAGATAGAAAATCTTTTAATAATTAATAGTTAATTAGTAATATTAATCGAAGCGGTCTCTTCCGATTTTATTTGTATATGAATGTAACAACAATAATTCAAGGCAATTCTTTGATTTCGACAGTGACTCACTCACCGTCTAATTCTAAGGTACTTCTAGAAGTGTTATAAACTTAAAATTTTGTATTATAGGCAGGCATTAAGCTTATAATGGAAAGAAAAATTGAAAAATCTGGAAATATCTTTATGGATTAAAAGTTAGCTGTCTAGCCGCTATAATAGATATAACTGACTTTTCGGCGATGGTAATAGGGGAACCGGTGATACGATTGTTTTGAAAATTTGAACTTGCATTTGCTCCAATTATTTTCCTCAAAAATCCCTCTTTTGGTACTGACTTCTGCCAATTTTTTTGTCTCACCCAAAATAAAAGTCTAACCCTGCCCTCCTTATAATAATTATAATATATTTACTAAAACTTTATTTGCCTCCTCCGACCCTGATGACCCCCAGACTGTCAATTTAGAATAAATAAAATGATTACGTATTTTTTGACGCTAATAGCAATAAGTTGAAATTATGAAATTACAATATACCTTGGACTTTTTGCAACTTTTCGGCCAATTCTTCACTAATGGTATAATTAGTTTCTGTTGGCTCTGGTAGGGGATCCACCAAGGCATTTGTAGGTGGTGATGGTGTAATCAAGGGACATATGGATGTAGAGTCAGCATTGTCAGTCATAAACGAATTTGAAGAAGATGAGGGCAAGTTTGTTCCGCTGTTCACTCTGAGGAATGATTCCATTCTGTTACCAAGCTGCCTTTTATGTCTATGATTTGTATCTGTAAAAAATATATTTAGTAATATTCGATTGAAAGGTTCGTTAAGTGCATAATCGCGACATTGTGCACAACGGCAACCATACGTGATGTGTTTTCTATAGAGTCAGGTACCTACCCGTCTATGGCTAATACAGGGTGGTCCGAACTGTATTCCGGAAAGTTCGGCAGCATATTCTGCAGATAAAAACAAGTAAAAAACTAAAATGCTTAGTTTCGGAGATACAGGGAATTAGTATTGTCATTTTTATTTCGATTTTTTCCAAATAATTTCTAAAGTAACGTAATATTTGGATAAAATTTGGTATCTGGGAGGTTTTTGATATGAGAAATTTGATTATGATGTCAATCTGACTCCTATTTGTAGGTGCGCCACCTACAAGTGTTTTAACTGTTTTGAAGAGTATTAACTTTTCGTCCGCATCCGTATAAAACTACTGAGTAAAAAAATATACGTGATTTTTTACGTAAAAAATGTCTTTCGGTAAAATCGCTGCGAGCAACCGTTCTCAAGATATGTAGAATAGAAATAGTCAATGTTGAGTAGATAGTTATTTGACTGAAATTATGGGAGTTATTTTACTGAACCTTTTTATTTTTTTTAAATTAATCATAAATTTTTCATCGAAGAAAAGATGATAAAATAGTTTCTGTTGAACTTTTGGCATAAAAACATTTCATTATCATTTCAGTATAATAACTATTTAGTTAATATGTTTAATTTATGACAATGATCACAGGTATGATAATTAAGATTCCAAATATCTGGAAAACCATTACTCGTAGCGATTTTTACCAAGATTTTTACGTAAAAAAAAACATCGCAAATGTATATTTTTATACTCAGTATTTTTATACAGGTACGGACGAAAAGTTATTACTCTCCAAACCAGTTAAAAATTATGTAGGTGGTACTAGTAGTGGGAACTACGAATGAATACTATCGAAACATTCGATAGTTGCAATTCATTCGAATAATTCGATAGCTAGTAAGAAAACATTCGCCGAAAACTATTCGAATAAAAATTATCGAATAGTAATTCGGCAGCAAAAACCATTCATTTATAACACTCATTCATTTATCAAATTCATTTATTCGTCAGGATCGATTTTAATAAAATATAAACTGGATTTTAGTTGTCGTCCGGCGACGTAGGTTTCTTTCCTAGAAACCCGACAGCGGTCGGTGGCAATGCTATGAAAGAAGCCGGCATCTTTGATTTTTTGCGGAGTCAAATAAAGATAAGGACACATTATTTTTTTTTTTATTGAGGTGCTAGTATTTACACAGAAAATATATTATGAAGGGCGCTGTTGCCATATATTTGTATTAGTTGGTATTAGCAAAGAATATTATTCTTTAGCATTAGTTAGTTAGGGATAGTATGTCTATATGTTTTGGTTTGGTTTGGTTTTTTTATTAATATTCTGTTGTTACACTGCAATAATACTTTTTATTTTGGATGTAGGAAAATGATTTTTAATGTTTTTAAGCAAAGACTGGTTTAATAAATAATAATAACAGTAATAATTTGTTATACCTATTAACAACAAAATTTACAATCATTTAATAATATAAACATTTGTTTTAAGTAGTAGCAAAATATAAACAACAAATAGAAGTCAAAAGTATTTATATTAGATCCTATTTAAAAATAATATAGTCTCTAAATGGCAACGTTGGTTTACTAAATAATAATAATTACAGAACTAATTTGTTATATTAACAACAAATTTTAAAATCATGAAATATAAACATTTATTAATTTTCAAAGCATGCAGTGTAATGGAAGGAAAATATAAATAAAAAATTAGAAATCAAATTTATTTATATTACTTTTTATTACTTTATATTATTATTTAAAAATAATATTTACTGGCATTTACTTTAAAACATAAAATGAAATATTTCTTCGCAAAAAACTACATGTAAGAGAATTAGCATAAACAAAATACATTGTTAACTTTTTTTTAATTGGCACGTGTAAAACTTTCAATTTAATTTTCTCACCCCAAAATTTGAGTTCGACAACAATTTACTTAACCACATTACTTAAATATGATTATTAAGTTCCAACTAATTCATATTATTAAAACATCTAAAATACAAATATGTATTTTTAAAATTAATTGTAAGTTCATCTCATCTCTCTTAAAAATTGCTACTTCTCAAAATTTCCCTTTAAAAAAATGCTATCTAACCTAACCATTAATATACCATATAAGATTAAATAATTGAAAGATCGGGCTACGGAAAATCACACAAATTTTCGGAAAAATTTTGACCACTTCGCACACAATCGTCAATTAAAAAAAAACTACTATTTTAGTATTTTAAATATTTTAATAAACGCAAAAATAGCATAGTATTTACAAGGCGAAGTTATAAAAATTTGGAAGAGCTAATAATGCACTAACGCACACAAAAATCAAACGAATACTAAATTTCATTTATCAAAAGCATTCGATAGTCGTGGCGCAACGATAACCATTTAGTCGCACGGCGAGGTTGTCACATATGCTTTAGTATACAAATGAATGAATGATTTTATTCGAATAAAACCATTCGATAGTTGAAATCATTCATTCAGTAGCCATTCGATAGTCTAATTCATTCGATAGTTCCCATCGCTAGGTGGTACCCCCTACAAGTAGGAGTCAAAATTAAATATCTCATCAAAAAACTCCCAGACATCCATTTTCATCCAAAAATGGACGTTCAGAAATTATTTTGGTTTGGTTTGGTTGCGAACTTCTACACCCTGTATCTCCAAACCTAAGCATTTTAGGACATACATATACATACACACAGTATAGGACATACATACAGTATAGGACATACGAACTTTTTTACATATTTTTATCTGCAGAATATGCTGCCGAAGTTTCCGGCATACAGACTGGACCACCCTATATGAACAAGTCAGGCTTTATGTAAACACAGACAGTTTTTAGTTTTAAGATAGAATCGTTGTATTCATAGTAGAGATGTTGAATGTAGCTGTTCGAGAATAAAATTTTTGAGTTTTGTTAAGTTTTAAAAAGATTACTTGACTTGCGAGTTTATTTCACAATCAGCGAGGCATTTACATACATAATAAGTTTAGTACATTTCAGTCAATTAAAATTGCTGTAAATCTTTACTGTCTTCTTCAAGGGAACACATCTCCAAAAAAATAAGCTTCTAAGATAATAAACCAAGAAAAAACTATTAAGAAAAATTGCACATTGATATTTTAATATTTATATTTTATTAAACTATTCAACAGAATGTTTCAAACTTTCGTCAAAATATCATGCAACATCTGCAACATTTTTTGTTTCATCTCGTATAATAAATAAATGTATAATAAATAAATGGGGGAAAAAAATTCTGAAAAGTCGAATAATTCAGTTACAAATTGCTTAAAAAATTATGAAAATCAGCTCACTAGAACACGATATTTTGAATTCTAAAAGACAAGAAGTTGGCAATTTTTCGTACCGTTTAGTGCATTATACAAAAATATTGGCCTAAAACATAGCAATTAAATAATTTTAATTATTACTTTTTAATAATGATGAGGTCGATTTTTAAAATTTGGGAATATCCGGGCATATCTCCACAATGACAAAATACTAAAAAAGTCTCTTTATTTTTGTTTTAGTAGAGGTGTTCTTGAAATATTGCAATAATAAATGCATCCGTTTAATAATAATAGTAATGGTAGGTTAAACAAATACGAAACTTCACTATATACTGTACCAGCAAAAAACTGTAACTTAAAATTTGATCCATCTAAAAATAACTTCTAGCATCGCGTGCTATTTTCAATAAACTGAATTGAAGCGCTTGAACGCTTTTAATAATATTACAATAAAGTCATGATTAAGCATACACCACTGAGTTTGTACTTACGTTCGTATTTATTGGTTCTAATAAAACCATTTTAAATGTATTTGCCGATCGTTGCCATGTTGCAAGATCAGCTGTAGCATGGGAGTGGAAAAGCTCAAGTTTGCGCTTTTATAAATACAATTGTTTGTCTTTTTTCTGGTTATTTGGTTAGAACGAGTTGGAGATATGACAACGCCTGCATTGACGTCGCGACGCATGCATGTGGCGTCGCCGTCGCGTCGTTTCAAAATAAAATCGATAAATATGGCGCTACTGAAATTTACAGAGATCTGTTTAGAATAGACATACAAACAAAATAGAGAAATTTTTAAAACAGCTGTTTGAGAAAACAGAATTAATTTCTAAATTGTTACAATTTAAAGAAAAATCTATATTTTCTTTATATGTTATTTTTTCTAAAATTAACATGTGCAAAAGATGCAATTAAAAAAGAAATAAATTTTAAAATATTCTGTTAATCACTAAATTAATAATGTGAATTGTTAAAAAGGTAATGAATTAAAAAGATATTATTTTCAAAATTTATTATTCGTATGGCGACATCTATAATTTAATAGATGTATTAAACTACATTGAAGAATAAATTTAAAACGAATTTTGTAAAGTAGTATTACCTTTTATGAATCTTTCTTATAGATGTCAGAACGCTATTAATTTTTTAAACAAAATACCAGATAATCATGCTACGTAGTTTAAATTTAATTTTTCTAATATTTATTTAAATAAATTATTTACAAAAACCTATATCAGTTAGTGATATAAAAAATATGATTTTTTAAACATATAAAAAGTTTATTTCTCTGGCTTAAAAGTCAACAGAATTAATTCTGAAAAGTAATGTACAAGGTGTTGATAATTTTTTTTATATACGTAGCATAAATAGATATTTAAATATACAAATATCTTTAAATATCTCAAAAACCAAAGCTTTTAAACTAATTAAACCCTTATAATAAATGCCTTATTTTATGTGTAAGAATCTAAAAATGAAATAAAGTACCAGGTGTTCCATAAGAAAAAATATAACTTTGGTATGGATCTTAGTTCTGACACATCCTGTATGTACATTTGAAAATAATTTTAAATTATGCACATTGCCGTCTCACATATACCCATAAACTATTTTGTTTCTACATCTTTCCGTTTTCGTATATTCAACCGAGGCGAATGAGGTGCGCCACCCTGTATACATATACAGGGTTGTTCACCACATACGACACGGAGTATTGTAGATAAATGATTAGATTTTTACAAATTTTAAGTTATGGGTTCGTTGAAGGACTATTAGAGCTACAATTTAAAAATATTTTTTTGACAAGATACAGAGTGTCCCAAATAAGTAAAAAATATTATAGTTGTATATTTTTAAATAGAACACCCTGTATATTATTCTATATTTAGATTCTACGATTAAAATAAAGGTAAATTTGGTTAAGGTTTATCACACTTAAACCTTATCGTTTTTGAAATATTTTCAATTTTATGAAATTGCAGTAAAATTTTTAAGGCTTCATTTCACCATGGTTACCAAAGTTTTTTATACTAAATACTAGCGTGTACCAGCGACTTCGTTCGCGTCGAATTAATCATTTGTAATGGTGATGATAAAGCAAAGCAAGAATTTCCATTAACATACAAACTGGATAAAATTTTCTCACATTTATGTCAGCATGAGAAAAAACAATATGGCGATAATATGATATAACTTGGTAATATTTGAGGGGTAGTTTCAAATTTGACTTTCGAAAAATCCGTTTGCCAAAAATAAGCTTTTTACGTCAAGCAGTTTAAGCAGAATCGTGGTTAAGAAATTACCCAACTTTTTGATTTATATATTAAATATACGTGTTTAAGCGTTTTTTGAGGGGTGGTCACCCTCTTGGAACTGGAATTTCGAAAAATCCCTTCTTATTGAACCTCTACATCCTAGAATCAACCTGCATGCCAAAATTGAGCTTCTTACGTTGAGTGGTTTGAGCAGGATCGTGATTAATCAGTATGTCAGTCACTTAAGGATTTTATATATTAGTATAGATTTACTGAAGATTATTTGTTGAATTTAACTACCTTATACAGAGTCTCCAAAAATTTATATTAAATAATTATTAGCTTTAAGCGGCAATAACTTGTTTAATTTAAATGGACCACCCTGTATATTTTACATGAATCAGATGCACAATTTAATTGTCTATCAAATTCTATTATACCATTTTTTACCTGGCTCTTCAAGTTTTCGTAGAAAATGCATTTTCTTATAATTTAGACCTCGTTTATCACTATACCCATGGAATATTGACATTTTAGATTATTTTTAAAGGTTTAACAATTTTTCAAAGAGAATAAATACTAACTAATAGATAATACTAACTAAAAAAAAACTTTTAAACTGTTTAAGTATTTTTTGTTAAAGATGATCAATTAATATGATCCCTCTATTCAAACTACATTATTTGACTGTTTCGACTCCAAATACTAAAAAACTGAATTTTGTATGTATATTAGACAGTGCGGTAAAAAGTAACACCTTATAAATTTTATTTCATTTTTTGACGAATGCTTATTTATAACAACAGAGACGTTCATTTTCATAACTTATTATTACATTCATTTCTGAGCCAAATCCACCTTTATTTAGAATAATATATTAATTAAAACAATTAAGTATGTAACTAACTAATTTTTGGTCGGAAATAATGGTGATCTATTTAATTGGTATACTCTTTTACAAAGATATAAATAGTTTTTTTTTTGTATACAAATGCGCTTGCAATATTATTAATTTACCACCTGTACATTTTGTACATATATGTTGCTTTAAAAAAATCTGAAATGTCAATATTCCACGGGTATAGTGATAAATGAGGTCTAATTTATAAGAAAATGCATTTTCTACGAAAACTTGAAGATATAGGTAAAAACCGGTTTAAAACAGTTTGATAGACTTTTAAATTGTGCATTTGATTCACGTAAAATATACAGGGTGTTAGTAATTATTTAATATAAATTTTTGAACCCTCTGTATAAAGTAGTAAAATTTTTATTATTGCAACACAATATCTAATCAATAAATAATCTTCAGTAAATATTTAGTACTAAAAACTTTGATACCCTTGGAGAAAAGAAGCTTTAAAATTTCTACTGCAATTTCATAAAATTGAAAATATTTCAAAAACGGTAAGGTTTAACCTTAATCAAATTTACCTTTATTTCAATCAATAATATACAGGGTCCCTTTATAAAAATACAACTATAATATTTTTTACTTACTTGGGACACTCTGTATATTGTAAAAATATTTTTAAATTGTAGCTCTAATAGTCCTTCAACGAACCCAAAACTTACAATTTGTAAAAATCTCATCGTTTAGCTACAATACTCCGTGTCGTATGTGGTGAACAACCCTGTATACATCTTATAAAATCACATTATCTTATACAGGGTATTTTTATGGTGTGGACAACAATGCAATATTTAATGCTAGTCCGAAAATGTATTACCTTCAAAGATTACCTTACTAATTTCACTCAAAAATTAGTAATCAAAATTTTACCAAAACTCTCAAAGACTTTTGATTATATAGATAAGGGATATCATTATTTATTATAAATGGTTCTTTATTTAAAAAATATGCAACTGACTTCTTTCTCTGGCAGGAGCTTTCTCTCTTTCATATATAAAAATGAGTATAATTAAGATTAAGACACAAGGGTTTATTCAGATGTTAGTTCTAACGATTGACCATTTTAGTAATTAATTTAATTTGATTGTTACCATGCATCTCCGAATGTTTAAAGATCAAATTTTCTTTAGTTCTTTTATTGATTTTTTTTACTTATCTTATCTTTTATACGATTCCTTTAATTTTTTGTAGGTATTTAGAAATATAATTTCTATGGCTTGTCTATTAATTTTGTTGCTTTGTGTTAGTTTGATTAACAGTTTTTAGCATCCAGATATTGACAACTTTAATTTTGCTTTCATAAGTATCTTTTTCTAATATTACGAGTATGTGGAATTGGTGGCAAGTTGGAATATAGAATAGTTTTAATAACTTAGTAGTTATGTTAATTTTCAGTTAAAAATTAGGATATATATATAGCTATTAACACATACGCCCATATATTTATTTGACACAGATTAAACTTTTTCGATTAAAAGTAGTTTTCCAGAAAGAGGACAAAATTATGAATTAAACGCACCCCCATAAATACCTATACTAAAAATAGCATTCAAAATTATTTTCAGAAAATTAATGTTTTATTCACGTTAATTTTCAGATATGGTTTTAAATTTTATACTTATTTTATAACAATAACTAAATATTGGTTGAATATTTCAATGATAATATATGAATAAATAATATGAATACAAAATACATATACAGGGTCCGGCAATAGTGCGTCGGGCATCTGTAGCTCCTAGAATAAAAAACTTGAGAATTTTGTTTAAGTGCAAATCTAAAGTATGTTTTAGGATGGATGCAGGAAAATATTAAAAAAAAAATTCTGGTGGCTCAAAAAATTGTGAGCGGATCAGGATGATTTTTTTTAAACGGATCACTATATAAACTGTTCTGAAATCAAAACTATATTAAGTAATCACTTTATACGGTCTGTACTTACTTTGCTATAAATATGGCAATCTTAAATCATACAGGATGTTCAAAATTTTACGCTAAACTTTCTAAAATATAAAATATTTTTTCTTCGTTTTTTTTTAATGGAACACTTTGTATATTATTTTTTCAATATATGGACAATTAAAAAATGAACATTTTTTGTATTTCAAAATTTTTAACGGTTTCGCAGATATTCGCGGTTTTATATTTCATATGGCATTTTCCATAGTAAATTCTTATCAAAGCCACTCAATGATTTTTCTCTCGTATTTTACCATATTAAATAATACTGCGTATATATGCGAAACCATCAAAACTTTTGAAATACTTTAAATACAAGAAATGTATATTTTTTAATTCTCTATTTAATAAACAAATAATATACAAGGTGTTCCATTAAAAAAAAACAAAGAAAAAGTATTTTATATTTTGGAAGGTTTGGTGTCGAATTTTGAACATCCTGTATGATATAAGATTACGATATTTATAGCAAAGTAAGTAGAAACTATCTAAAGTAAACACCTAATATAGTTTTGATTTCAGAACAGTTTTTGTATTTTTAATATTTTTTTTAAGAAAGGCTGAAAAATATTTTTTTAAATTTATTTATTAATATCTCTGAAACTATTTAAATATATTTACTCATATCTTAAGTGCTCTAAAAAAAGCCAAAAATGGAATAATATACAGAGTGTTCCATTTAAAAAAAATCATCCCTATCCACTCACACTTTTTTGAGCCACCCTATAGAAGTTAAAATATTTTCCTGAAATTAATAATACAGGGTTGTTCACCACATACGACACGGAGTATTGCAGCTAAACGATTAGATTTTTACAAATTGTAAGTTCTGGGTTCCTTGAAGGACTATTAGAGCTACAATTTTATTTTTACAAGATACAGAGTGTCCCAAATAAGTTAAAAATATTATAGTTGTAGTTTTTTAAATGGAACACCCTGTATATTATTCTATTTTTAGATTCTACGATTGAAATCAAGGTAAATTTGATTAAGGTTTATCACACTTAAACCTTACCGTTTTTGAAATATTTTCAATTTTATGAAATTGCAGTAAAAATTTTAAGGCTTCATTTCTCCAAGAGTATCAAAGTTTTTAATACTAAATATTTACTGGAGATTATTTATTGATCAGATATTGTGTTGCAATAATAACAATTTTACTACCTTATACATAGTGTCCAAAAATTTATATTAAATAATTACTAGATTTAAACGGCAATAACTTGTTTAATTTAAATGGAACACCCCATATATTTTACGTGAATCAGATGCACAATGTAATTGTCTATCAAATTGTATTATACCATGTTTTACCCATTTCTTCAAGTTTTCGTAGAAAATGCGTTTCCTTATAATTTAGACCTCATTAATATTTAATAAATAAATTTTTGGACACTCTGTATAAGGTGGTAAAATTTTTATTATTGCAACACAATATATGATCAATAAATAATCTTCAGTAAATATTTAGTATTAAAAACTTTGATACCTTTGGAGAAATGAAGCCTTAAAATTTTTACTGCAATTTCAGAAAATTGAAAATATTTCAAAAACGGTAAGGTTTAAGAGTGATAAATCTTAATCAAATTTACCTTTATTTCAATCGTAGAATCCAAAAATTGAATAATATACAGGATGTTCCATTTAAAAAAATACAAGTATAATATTTTTTACTTATTTGGGACACTCTGTATCTTGTAAAAATATTTTTAAATTGTAGCTCTAATAGTCCTTCAACGAACCCAAAACTTACAATTTGTAAAAATCTAATCGTTTAGCTACAATACTCCGTGTCGTATGTGGTGAACTGTATCTGTATAAATAAATTAATTACATCCTTGTACATACTTAGGTTTACACTTAAACAAAATTTCCAAGTCTCTTAATCTAGATGCCCGACGCACAATTGCCGGACCCTGTATATAAATATACATATTTGAGTATTATCAGCACTTGGAAATATAAAGGTATATACAGGGGCTGTTTAAATTTGATTTAAAACGGTAAGCATTGTGTAAATAAGACGTTTGTCTGTAATTTTTAATAGAAACTTGATAAATCTCTGCATATTAATAACAAAATTGCGGAAGAATCATTCGGAAACAGGGGGGGGGGGATATTTATGGTATCACCAACGTAAATAAACGTAAGAAAATGATTATTTCATTTATAGTCGATAATAGATAATTTAATATACACAATAACAAAGTATGCAACATGACACGTGAATTGTAAATGATTTATTTCTAATAACAAATCAATTATTTGCTATCACTTAGTTTAAGGAAATTAAATTAATTTTATATGTTTGGTGCATTTATAATTTTTATATACAGGGTTGACGTTAGTTTCAATGTTGGTATACACTTTACCGAGGTCAATATAAATTCTAGACATCAAAAACATTATGAGAAAATAAAGAGGTATATACAACAAAAATACAACATACGTACATAATACTAAAATGCAGCAGCGTAGCGTGCAACGCTAAAAATGTAACAGGTTAAAAAAATAGTCAAAACAATTTAAAAAAAGAACTAAATTTAGGTAAAAAACACTTATAAATTTTTCTTAACTTTCTGATCATCTTTTGTTTATTTTAATTTCACTTTCTGGGACTTTTTGAAAAACTCCTACTTAAGGTTTTTAATGTCCTTCAAATAAGTAAGCCTGCCTAAATATTTCTGAAAACCTTGAACAATTCCTTAACAGACAGGCTATATACAAGGTGTATCGTAACAAAAAATCCTATAAAGTAATTCGATTTAATAAGAACTAATGTATTTTTGTTTTGCAAATTATAAAACAAGCGTATGACAAAGCATACTAGTTTTATTTGATCAGAATTAACTACGTTTCAAGAAAATATAATTTTTCCATCATATCAATCGTGTAAAGGTGAAATAAAAATTATTTTGATTGTAAATTAATATACAGGTCTTGACCCAGTCTGACTGGAAATAATACACATTGAATCTTTACAATACAAACTACCTGTAAATACTGTATTGTCAAAATAAACGACGTCCAGTTGGCATTAATATAATATAAATTTGCGTATAAAATAACAGCGATTTTCATTTCCAAACGATCTCTGACGCCATTATTTTTTTGATCTTATGGTATTATGAATATTTACTGTTATTAAAAGAAATTCTTAATTATTAAATAAATTAGTTGTTATGAGATATTATATTATAACGCTTGTTATATTTTAATTAGGTCGCTCTAATCTAATTCAAATGATTTTGGACACTGAGTAGCAACTGAAAATTACCATTTCTAATTTTACTTTAGACAAAAACGTTTTATTAATTAGATTTCACTTTTTTTAGAATTTAGTAGCCATATACTTTGCCTATGTATAAAGTGATATCGACTACTATCATGATTATTGACAGTTACTTAACAAGCAAGTGTGGATATTTCGGTTTCTTTATGTTTATACAAATTTATTGTTTTTGAAGAAGTGCTAATAAAAATGTGTTTCTATTGTATACAGGTATAAATTTTCAAGAGAACCTATACTATTTCTAGAAATCTGACTTTATTAAATGTAGGTATATCAGTATTTATTACTAAAATTGATATAAATTTATATCCGGGGCTAGACAAAATATTTTACCAACCGTTTTGCATGTCAGTTAAAGAGGAAGACTGTTTATAAGAGCTGAGATTAAGAATAAATAATAGTCCATCGAACGGACGGTAGTTTTCTAGACTATCTAAAAGTATAGTCTGTACCTTTGGCCTGTCCAGCGACAAAATCCTTGACAGTGATAGATGTCTCTGTCATTTTATTTTAAAAGTAGTTTATTTTATTTAATAAAGAAATAAGTTGGTACAATTGGAACGCACACCAGAAAATTAATTATCTTTTATATCTAAAATTTTAGTGACAAGTGGTTACTTCAAAATATTATGAATATATATTAGGGTCTCTGCTAATACAAAATGAACAAGGGTGTATATTAAACAAAACACCACATACAAAAAATCTATAAAAAAAACAATTTCTTACTTTCAAATTTCAAGAAACTTCCGCATTTCTTGTTATATTTATCAATATAACTTATTTAGAAATATATTATTTAATATGCTTGTTTGTTTTTTATTAGCACCAATATAATTTAACTTTAATCTTAATTTTATAAACCAGTATCTTTCGAGATTATTTCTCTGCAGTACTAAAATCTATTATTTAGCTATTATGTGATGTCATTTTACAGGTACTCCAGTTTTTGGTACCATATTCGATATGGTATACAAACTTTATTTGTGACTTTTTTCCCTGGGCACTGTGTCCCTGGGCACCGAATATTAAATATAAGCTACGGTCTGGGTCAACATTTAATTTTTCCTAGATTTTTCCTCCACTTATCCAGTAGGAAATTTCTTGGAAGGAATGCAACGAATAGGACTTAATATTGATGATATTAAAGTCAAAATGAAGACTATTAGAAGTACATACTATACAGGGTGGCGCACCTCATTCGCCTCGGTTGATTATATGAAAACGGAAAGATATAAAAAGAAAATATTTTATGGGTATATGTGGGAAGGCAATGTTGATAATTTAAAATTATTTTGAAATGTACAGAACTAAGATATGTCAGAACTAAGATCCACACCAAAGTTATATTTTTTCTTATGGAACACCCGGTATTTTATGTCATATTTGGATCTTTGGACACAAAATAAGGCATTTATTATAAGGGTTAAATATGTGTACAAGCTTTGGTTTTTGAGATATTTAAAGATATTTAAATATGCATGCTACAATAGAATATATTATTAACACCCTGTACATTAATTTTCAGAATTAATTCCTGTGCTGAGTTTAAAGGTAGAGAAATAAACTTTACTGAAAAATGTTATTGCTTCCTTAAATTTATACAGGGGTACCAAAAATTGCTGATCAATTTTAAGAATTTATTTTACATAAAAACTTCGTTTTTTGAAATACCAAACCAAACCAAACACCCTGTATTTTTTTAAATAAGTCGAAGCAGATTCAAATGCTCTTTATCAATACTATTTACTTAAACTAAAAACTCGTAATACAAAACTAAAGTGTCCAAACTAATGAAACTAATGACAATGTCAGTAAATAAATAAATAGATGCGGCAACTTGACATTTTTACAGCAGAGCTACCACCTGAATCTCCAGCGCGAAATTTAAAGTTAGTCCAGTTAGTCAGCACGGCGCTAAATATGTTTATGATTGGCAACAGTGAATTTAAAAAAAGTTTAATTGATATCAAATATATGTCTTTCTTTCCTTATATAAATGAGTACTCTATGATAGCATTTATTTAGTAATAGATAGGAGATAGCTACTAACGGAAGAATTTTAAACATTTTATTTTTGAAATTGGTCATAATAGCACACAATAGCGTTTATATAAACTCTTTATCGCATCTTTCTCTTTATAATGGTATAACCAGTATGTACTGATTCTATCGTTGGATTATCAAGAATTTGATAAATAGTCGGACACCAAACGACATTAATGTCACATAATATATTTTAGGAAGAACAAAAAAAAACCTCGTTACAAAGGCAAACATATTTTGATTGTCTAGGCACCAATCTTTAAAACATAAAAATGTCTTGTTCCAGTAGTGTAAACTACAGCAATCCAAAACAATATAACCAGAAATTACTGGTTATAATGGTTAATTGATAACTAATACTATAACTACTATAATAATTGTTTATTTTCGGTGAAGGATTTTAAATACGGAATTAAGTGAAACTTTCCCTCTGTACATTTTTTAAAATTGAAAGATATGTTCATAAAAGTCATAAATAATTTTATATTTATATCCACGACAAGTTTTTCGAAAATACATTTTTAGCAGTTAATTTCTTATTCCAATAGCGGCTTATTGCAAAATATAAAGATTATATGTGACCCTTGTTAAATATAAATTTATCTCCATATACAGTATACAAAGTGGTCAATGTTCTATATTAAATTTATTACTATTAGCATTTTTTACTAGTAAAACAAATTGGGTAGCCTAACGATTACTTTTATTAGTTTTTACAGAAATAAGAGAGAAAGAAGCTATAGTTGAAAGAAGAAGAGTTAATGTCTTTTTATTTTTACTTCTTATCGCGATCTGTAAGACCACGGAGTACATGTGCAGACGATCCAGCTGAATACATTGAATATCCCTAGACCTTGAGTATCGTCTTGTTCTTCACTTTATTCCGGAATGTTGCTGCGACGTGTCCAGTATTGTTACTTGGTTTACCGTCCAAGATTTGAGTAGCTATGTTTTTTTTTGGAACATCACTTCAATGTAATCCTCAGCTACATTTGAAAACTTCCATCTTCCTTTAATGTTAGTTTCTGCAACTCGTCCTTGCGGGATGCTTCGGCTATGCCAAATACCTGCAACTATAATTTACAAAAGTAAACATATAAATTTTATGTAGTTAAACACTGTAGCGTCATTATTAGATATTTATTATTATCTGGAGCTTCAATTTTTTCAAAATTTGTCAAATTCCTGTCGGGTAAAAATTTTTGATTTCTTGGGACTTATATACTTCTTCTTCAAAAATGGAATTAATTTGGTAAAATGTCGGATTTCAACATGTTTATTGATTAACAGCGTAGCCTTCAACATTGAGTGCTCTGATAAAGGTTTGATGGTTGATGGGGCTTTAATATCTCTGATTTTTCATCAAATATGCTAGGTAATATTATTAACAAACCTTGTGGCACAGGTAACAGTGTATAACAAATTTCATACACCTTTTTAGATTTTTCGGGTAATAAATCTGTTGTAGCTTCATGTGCTATTTCAATTATATCTCTGGGGTACCAAACATTTCTTCGTCACTTCGACATTTTTGATAGCTTACAGCAAAATAAGCAATGTTTTGAACTGACAACTTGAAAATTATGGCAATTTTCGTTGTCAGGCGATTCATGGGCAACTATGATTAACCAATTCGAAGCGCGAGGGTTCGATTTAATTTTTAACTTATTAATTTACTTAGGACTTTATGGCGACTAACAAAAATATACTTGCATTAGTAACAAAATTTGGATTAACAAATCAAAATCAAGGTACAAATTTTTTCTCTTTAGTTAAACTCGTCATTAAGGTTAAGGTTTTTTTGTACTAGTGCAAAAATAAGTTATTTTTTGCAGTAGTGTAAAAAATTTGACTTTTAATACAGTAGATGTAAAAATTAGCTACTTTTTGTACAATCGCAGAAAAAGTATTTTTTTTTAAACAACACTGCGTTTATCGAATGGAAACCAATTTGTCAGTGGTATTTTACTAATAAAACAAAGGTGTCTAACCGACAAAAAATGCTTAACGTTTCAGGAGGTATATTATGTCCTTCCGTCATCAGAAGCATTAATACGTAAAGCATTTTTTGAAAAAGTCATTGAAGAAATGAACCCGCCTCAAAGGTAACGTAATTTTGGTAAGGCACATTCGTATGAGAGTAAAGAAAAGTCACTAAAAAACATATATTGTGATATATTTTAATGTAAGAATATTTTTAAATACAACAATTCAAAATTGGAACCAATTATTTTTCAAGAATTTATGCCTAATAGTTTCTCAAGAAGAACAGGTTGATTTTTTATATCATTTTTAATTCAACTCAAAGATCATCATCTGTTAACAATTTACAAATTTCTAAAATACAATTTTAAATGGCCTTGTCTCACCCTGTACATTATTGATTATATATCTATCTACTTTAGCATTTTAGTTGTATCAAAGAGAAGTAATTTCTTCATTAATGGTGTTTAATGTATTGATAATACAAGCGACTCAGTTTACTCTTACTGTTTGGTTTGGCCCGTTTATAAAAGTGTTATACACTTGGATTTATGAATGGATGTATCAAAATCTTCCAAAATAAAAACTTTTATTTGAGGTAAGTAAAAACTTTTAGTATATAAACACATATTGTTTTTATATTTTTATAATTATGTTTCTTTCAAAAATAATTGGATAATATATGTTAATATATTATATTTTTTAATTTTTCAACATTTTCTTAACAATATTAATAAAATTAGGATGATTGTCAAATTTAATTTTATATTGAGAAATACTCGTATATTGTAAAAGTTAGTTGACAGTATAAAATGTCAATTTAACGTCAAATCAACATAAACGAGGTCTAATTTATTATATTTTAATCTTATAATTATTATGAATAAATAAATTTAAATTTCCCAAGATATATTTGATTATTTTATATATTTTTATACAAATAATTGCAATCTTGTTGCATGAGCATTTGAATACAACGGTGGTACTATCCATTGATTATATAAAAAAATATGTGCATTTGCAAAAAAAAATATTTACATAGAGATTACAGATTTCTGCAAATATTTGACGAAAATCAATGGCCAAAAATATGTAATGTAAATAACGTTAGGTAAATTAAACAAAGACATATATTATTTCTTATAACTTTTATTGCAAAATTTTTATCCTTGTAACTTAACATAGTCTTTATATAGGCAATTATATCAATTGTAACTACATTACTTAATAGTAAT